CCAGGAGGTCCAATTAGAACCAGGAGGTCCAGCCAGAACCAGGAGGTCCAGCCAGAACCAGGAGGTCCAATTAGAACCAGGAGGTCCAATTAGAACCAGGAGGTCCAGCCAGAACCAGGAGGTCCAATTAGAACCAGGAGGTCAATTTAGAACCAGGAGGTCCAGTCAGAACCAGGAGGAAGTCCAGTCAGAACCAGGAGGTCCAGCCAGAACCAGGAGGTCCAATTAGAACCAGGAGGTCAATTTAGAACCAGGAGGTCCAGTCAGAACCAGGAGGAAGTCCAGTCAGAACCAGGAGGTCCAATTAGAACCCTGCAGGTCTGTTTGGGTCGGGTTCTGCTCATTCAGCTGCTGAGCAGATCCAGGACTAGAAAGATGGTTTAGAGCAAAGATGGCCGCCGCATGTTCAGCCAGAGTGAAACTAAACATGAAGCTGTGGGTTTGTGTGTCACTGACCCGTCAGAACCAGAACCAGGCTGATGTTTTGGATGTGTAGCTCTGGGAAGTCAGACTGGGCAGTAAGAGAAGAACCGGACCTCTAAGAGGTTCCTCTGGTTCTGACCATAATCAGTAGAACCTTCCTGTGACCCGGTTGGACCCGGTGAAGGTTCTGCTGAGCTGTGGGGGCTGCAGCAGGTGGAACCGGGCCTGACTGGCACCACTGGATCGGTGTCACTTGTTTCTGCACATAGATCTATGTTTCTAGACGCTCCAGATCTTTCATGGTTTGCTGCTTTTGAGCCTAGAACAGCAGATTATGGATGAGGACTGGATTAGGATGTAATCCAGGTTCTGGGCTCTAATCCGGGTCCTCTGGATGATGAAGGATCCATGTTCTGTCCTCCAGCCTCAGTCTGCGCTGTCATCCTTATCAGAGCAGACAGCCTCGCTCCTCCTCCTCCTCCTCCTCCTGCTCCCCCCCCCCCCCCTGCAGAGGGATTAGGGGTAGCCTCGGACTCTGCAGCCCGTTAGCGGCTCTCGGTTCGGTTCTGGGTCCCTCCGGTACCTCGGCGCTGCGGCGCGCCTTCGGCCACCATGAGCGGCTGAGATCCGACCGCGGGACGGCGGCGCTTCCCGATCCGAGGCAGAGTGACTGAAGCCCGGCCGAGCAGCGGACCTTCCTCCGCCCCCTCCCCGGATCAGCGCCGCGCTGCGGAGATAAAGGCGGCGGCTCGGTTAGCGGCTACCGGCTGGATCCTGATGACATGTTTGAGTGAGTGAAGCTGCTCAGCGCGGGAATCAAGCCAATCCCGCAGATTACAGCCAGACGCTCGGATAGCGGAGCTGAACGATGTGATTCAGCTGCAGCGGCAGCGGGGCCCCTAGCATCGGCGGCGGGGCCCCTAGCAGCGGCAGCACCGGCTGGACTTTGCCCTGCATGGTGGCCCTTTGGACTGTGGTCAGAATGACAGCTGCTGATCAGCAGATTAGCTCAGAGATAATTTAATGTGATAAACCTGAATGGTTCTGATTCAGACTCGGTGGTTCTGGTGCCCAGCCTGATCTTCTGACGGACCTCTAACTGGTTCTGCTGGTTGGTTAGGCACTGGTTTCCAGCAGGAAGGAGCGTTTCCCCTCTCATGCTGTGCACTGCTGGTCAGCTGGCTTCAGGCTTTCAGAGCCATTTCTGATCATTGCTGAGCCGCCGTAGCTAACGGCTAACCGGAGGACGTCCAGGTTCCTCCCAGAAAAACTATTTTATTCAGCAGTAAAAATCTAAAGATTTTTTTTTCTCCAGTAGGAAAAAAAGTCCAACATTTAGAGATAATTTGATTTAAAAGACCAAAACGATCCTGTTACAATAAAGAGCTAAATAATAACTTTGGTTAGTATTTTTAAAAGCAGAGCGACAAGGTCAACTTCTCCCGGCCACTAAGGGGCGCACCTGCTCTCGCCTGCTTATTTGTTCTTACTTACTTGCCTGATCTACTCATGCTAATGCTAACCATAGCTGTTCTGATCTACTCATGCTAATGCTAACCATAGCCATCCTGATCTACTCATGCTAATGCTAACCATAGCGTTCTGATTTACTCATGCTAATGCTAACCATAGCCATCCTGATCTACTCATGCTAATGCTAACCATAGCGTTCTGATCTGCTCATGCTAATGCTAACCATAGCGTTCTGATCTACTCATGCTAATGCTAACCATAGCTGTTCTGGTCTACTCATGCTAATGCTAACCATAGCCGTCCTGATCTACTCATGCTAATGCTAACCATAGCGTCCTTATCTACTCATGCTAATGCTAACCATAGCGTCCTTATCTACTCATGCTAATGCTAACTGCTAACCATAGCCGTCCTGATCTACTCATGCTAATGCTAACCATAGCGTCCTTATCTACTCATGCTAATGCTAACTGCTAACCATAGCCGTCCTGATCTACTCATGCTAATGCTAACCATAGCTGTCTTGCACCATCAGCTCATTCGGGTTGCATCGATTTTATTTTTTTAAAAAGACCTAAATTACTTTTTTTCCTTTCCTAAAGTAGTAAACTTACTAAACTATAATGTCTTAAAGGTCAATAATGTATTTCGTGATCCTTTCTGTTTTATCCTCTGCTCCTGATCTGCACAGGAAATGGGATGCTACGCTACTTCCAGGAGCTAACTTTGGATTTAAACATAAAGCTAGTCTTTTATGTTTTCCTTTCATGTTAACATTATGCTATAAAGTGCTTAATCTACAGAAACAACTAGAATGCAGATAAACATGGTTTAACCAGATTTACTGCTCTGATCGTTTCCCATGATGACGTCAGAGAAGCTTTTTAACAGAGAAATTGGAAAAAGCAGCAAAATCGTCTCAGAAAAATCATGAAACATTTTTTAAAGATATTAGCATTTTTTAGAGAGTTAAAGATAGAAATAAGTAATTTTAGAGCCATAATTACATTATTTACGGCGACATGGATGAATGCCTGTTGGCGCAGCAGGGATCGCGCTTGCGGGGCAGGACGGATAGCGGCAGCCATAGTAGCTCCATCGCTCCAACGTTCTCCTCGTTTCCCATTTGAACTTGAATCTGAGAAGGAAAGGGGTTGCCGGCTCCATGGTGGAGCTACGAGGGTCTGGAAACGCCTGGACCCTTCCATGATGACCTCGACATCATAACCAGGAGGAATGTTTTATTTTTAAAATATTCATTGTTTGGCTGAAAATGAAGCTTTGACCTTTCCTCTCCTGGCTTTTGACCTCTCCTGGTGTTCCTGACATCGTCTCCCTCTGGAAATTTCCTCTGCTACCTTCCTCCATATTTATTTCTCCAAGTGTTAAAATGGGAATCTTGCTCTGAGCTCCAGCTGAAGAGCTTCTCTTCCTCCCGGCAGCAAAGCAGGGTTCCCAAAGGGGGGCTGGGGACCCGCTGAGGGCCCACAGGCAGCAGGCGGGCGGTCTGAGATGGTTTCCACAAGAATTATGACGCGAACCATGAGGTGAACGTCGACGTGCCGTCATTTAAAAGCAATCCGTAACATGAGGAGATCAGCCGGTCGGTCAGAACCAGAACGTTTTTTTATCTACGACTTCATCCAAATATTCAATATTTTTCAGTCAACTAAAAATAATGGTTTAATATAATGAATTAAAAATAAAAATAAAATAATCATACTTCTAAATGTCCACAACAAATTCATGTGTCTAAGTAAACAGTGAAGGCCTTAGAAGATGATGATGATGATGATGATGATGATGATGGAGAGGATGAGGAGGAGGAGGAGGAGGAGGATGATGATGATGACGATGATGAGGAGGATGATGATGATGGAGATGATAATGATGATGGAGAGGATGATGATGATGATGATGATGATGATGGAGATGATGAGGATGATGAAGGAGAGGATGATGATGATGATGAGGATGATGATGATGATGGAGATGATGAGGAGGAGGATGATGATGATGGAGATGATAATGATGATGGAGAGGATGATGATGATGATGATGATGATGATGATGATGGAGATGATGAGGATGATGAAGGAGAGGATGATGATGATGATGAGGATGATGATGATGATGGAGATGATGAGGAGGAGGATGATGATGACGATGATGAGGAGGAGGAGGATGATGATGATGGAGATGATGATGATGATGGAGAGGATGATGATGATGATGATGATGGAGATGATGATGATGATGGAGAGGATGATGATGATGAGGATGGAGATGATGATGATGATGGAGATGATGATGATGATGATGATGATGGAGAGGATGATGATGATGATGGAGAGGATGATGATGATGGAGATGATGATGATGATGGAGATGATGATGATGATGATGGAGAGGATGATGATGAGGATGGAGATGATGATGATGATGGAGATGATGATGATGATGGAGATGATGGAGATGATGATGATGATGATGATGATGGAGAGGATGATGATGATGATGATGGAGAGGATGATGATGATGATGAGGATGATGGAGAGGATGATGATGATGATGATGATGGAGAGGATGATGATGATGATGGAGAGGATGATGATGGAGATGATGATGATGGAGATGATGATGATGATGGAGAGGATGGAGATGATGATGATGGAGATGATGATGATGGAGAGGAGGATGATGATGGAGAGGATGATGATGATGATGATGATGACCCTGCTGGTTCTTCTGAGCCTTTAATGTAGAAAAGAAAATCCTTTATTGTTCCTCAATGGGGAAATAACTGATCCAGAACCGGGTCTGGGTTGCTGCCCTTCATGGGGGGAAGCAGAACCGGACCGCTGACACCGAATGGACCTGTTCATCCAGAACCTCCCAGTGACTCTAACTGGTTTGGTTTACGTCTCTGGGAGATCTTTACTGGTCTCTGATCAGGCCGGTCCCGGTAGAATCAGTACTGGATCTGTCGGTGGTTCTGGTTCTGGTTCTGCTCCTCCATCCTGGGACCTCTGTTCCTCGGCGTTTGGCCTGAAATGTCCCGTCTGATCTTCTCTGATGGCGTTCCCTCTGTTCGCTGTCTCCAGTACGGCCAGTAACTCTCCACGCAGCACCCCCGGCAGCTCCCCCTCCTTACGCCGGAGGGTCCTGGGGGGGGGCAAAGCCAGCGAGGGCGAAGGAGGAGCAGAGAAGAGCGGGGGAGGGGGAGGAGGTTCTGACAGCCCGCTGCCCTCCGTGCCCTCCGCCTCCTCCCTGTCCTCCGCCTACCCGCTGGCGTCCCGCCACTTCAGCCGCAATGCCAAGGTGAGAGGGGGGTTCTGTTTCCTGCTCTGTAATTGACCGAGCAGGATGATGATGTCATCATCCTGCTCTGTAATTGACCGAGCAGGATGATGATGTCATCATCCTGCTCTGTAATTGACCGAGCAGGATGATGATGTCATCAGGCAGCAGACAGAGGAGAGATGAAGATGCTTCTGATGCTCACATGATACCAAGCCGTCAGCGGCGGCCGGCGAGCTGTAGGAGCACCGGCCGCCGCTGACGGGTCGGTATGATGTGACCGCCAGAAGCTGAACGTCTCCCGTTTCCATGGTAACCTGCCCTTATCTGCTTTCTTGGCTAAATGACCTTTTGTTGTTTCTCTTTGCAGAAAATGCAGAGCTGGTACAATGTGAGTATTAATAACCGCCTCAACTTTGGCTCCGCCTCCGCTTTGGCTCCGCCTCCGCCGAGGTTCCTGCCTCTCACTGCTTCTCCGTGTCTCTGCCAGGTTCTCAGTCCCACCTACAAACAGCGCAACGAGGACTTCCGCAAAATCTTCAAGAAGCTTCCAGACACCGAGCGGCTTATAGTGGGTGAGTTTGAGAACACGCACCGGGTTCTACGGCCTGGTTCTATGGCTGGGTTCTACATTCTGGTTCTATGGCTGGGTTCTTATATCGGGTTCTACGGCCCTGCACCTTGGTTCCACGTTCCGGTTCTGCAGGCAGCTTAAGAGGAGCAGAGTTGATCCGTGAGGCCAGGCTGCTGCCTCCCTGCAGAGCTTGTTGGGGAGGAAACATCTAACAACCATCATTCTATGCTGTTCTAGAGCTATGATTACAGAGATACCACGCTGCCCGCACCCAGTCCCTCTGACTCTGATGGTTTGATTCTATTCCACTCAGTTTATTTCTATAGCTCCAATTCACATCATGTCATCTCAGGTCACTTTATAGATCCGTATCAACCAGATCATCGAGTCAGATTGATTCAAAGTTTTCTATCTAAGGAAAACCAGCTGATTGCATCGACTCATTGACTCTTCAGCAATCCCTCACACTAAGCACGCTTGTAGCGACAGTGGAGAGGAAAAACTCCCTTTGAACAGGAAGAAACCTCCAGCAGAACCAGGCTCAGTGTTAGCGGCCATCTGCCGAGGCCCACTGGGGTTCAAGGAGACAGAAGCAGACATAGAAAAAGAAGCATAGATACAAAAGGCAACTGTCAACCAGCTCCACAGGCGACCCCGTCCAGGAAACACACAGCCAGGCAGACGAGCTCCGAGCCAGCTCCCATGTCAGAGGATGAAGAGAGCACATCCAGTTAGTCACAGTCAGAGAAACAGGACTACACTGGAAAACAGGCCAAGCTCCAACATCTAGAAACAAAGGTGTTGATGGCAGCAGCCTCCTGAGAGGAGCTGGTTCACTCATCAGAACCGGTGCAAAGTGGAGCGGCTCTAGAAACCTTCATTACCTCTAGATGGTCGTAGAAGCGGCGTATGCTGATGGCAGGTGGAGCAGGTGGAGGCCCACAGCCCTGATGGAGGTCTAGCTGTGGAGCAACCAGGAAGGTTCCGGTCAGAGAGGGGGAGGAGTTTTTTTATTTATTTATTTTTTTTATTTAACCTTTATTTTACCAGGAAGTCCCTGAGATAAAATCTCTTTTTCGAGGGAGACCTGGCCAAGGGGCGGCAGTACAATAAGACACATAAAAACAACATAATAAAATCAAAAGTTTGGATCTTAGGTTAGAAGGTTGAGGTTCTGGAACCTGAATCGGTGACCTTAGAGCGACCCAAGGAGCCAGGATCAACCGCTGGGTCCATCCTGCTCTCCTCTGGTCTGTTTTCCTGCAGAACCTGTGAAACTGGAGCCGATCGGCGCCGTCAGCGCAGCGCTGGTCCCAGCAGGAGCTCCTGGGATGTTTGTTTCCCACAGATAGACTAAACTCTGCTGGGAGGCCAAACACTGAGATGTTTGCCTGGAGGAGCAGCGGCGTGCTGACGGGTCTGGGTCGTCATCCGTTACCCTGATGCTCCCTGCTGGTTGGCCCTAAAACCGGCTGGATTATCTGCTTCCTGTTGACCTCGCAGCTGCAGCTCCTCCTCTGCTCTGCGTCTGAGCGGCTGCAGGGATGGAGCTCTGCGATAAACCCTCTGATCCTCTGCAGCTGAGCCGCTCTCTTTTCTTCTTCCTTTTACAGACTACTCCTGCGCTCTGCAGAAGGACATCCTGCTTCAGGGACGCCTCTATCTGTCAGAGAACTGGCTCTGCTTCTACAGCAACATCTTCCGCTGGGAAACCACAGTAGGTCACCGTGGGAGCTGCTCGCCCACAGGGACACAGTCACCTTTATCTGTCCGCTGCCGATCATTTCTGACTCATTCCTGCAGCCCAACCTTTAAGGCTTCAAACCCTCCGTCCTTCCGTCCTTCAACGCAAATACGATCCAGAAATAACCAAACATTTCTTAAATATTTAGCCTTAATTTGAGCTGATCTGCCACTGCAGATCATGTTACTCTTATGTTACTCTTAAAGTAAGATAATTAGAAAATATACACTTAAAATAAGACATGGAAGTTGTTTTTTAATAAAATTTAAATGATCTTGTTCTAATGTCAAAGTGACTTGATTTAGATTTAAAGGTTTTGCAGTATGAGGACCAGACCTTGGTCCCCACTAGAGCAGTCGGTCGCCATGGAGACTCAGGGACTCCAGCTGCAGGCGGTGAGGAACATGTGAGAACTTCACTGCAAGAATGGAAATCTAAAAAAATCGATTTTAAGAAGTGGATTTCTGAGCAGAAAAGGCAAACAGTTTCCTCAGAATCATAAAACACTAAACCTGATTATGGGAAGGATGTGAGCTTGACTAGATCATCCAACCCCGGCCGCCGCAGACGGGGGTAACGTTGGCCCCGCCAGACGGGGGTAACGTTGGCCCCGGCCGGCCGCCGCAGACGGGGGTAACGTTGGCCCCGGCCGGCCGCCGCAGACGGGGGTAACGTTGGCCCCGACCGCCGCAGAAGGGCTAATGTTAGCCCCGGCCGCCCGCCGCAGACGGGGGTAACGTTGGCCCCGACCGCCGCAGAAGGGCTAACGTTAGCCCCGGCCGCCGCAGACGGGGGTAACGTTGGCCCCGACCACCGCAGAAGGGCTAACGTTAGCCCCGCCCGCCGCAGACGGGGGTAACGTTGGCCCCGCCCGCCGCAGACGGGCTAACGTTAGCCCTGGCTGCCGTTACCCTCCGAGCTGTGCTGGTTGCTGCGGTCCTCTCTACATCAGAACTTTTTTAAATTCCTCATTAAATCAGTAAATGTTCCGTTTAGTGAAGCTTAAAGTTTAATCTTCTCGCCTCAAATGATCTTAAACTTCCTTTTATTGAAGAACAGCAACAGAAAGAAAACTTTTAACTTAATCCTCTGAGCTCTGTGAGCGCTAACCTGGAAGCTGCTGCTGCTGCAGTGCATGCTGGGACAGCTGTCAGTCTGGAGGACGGACAGGTCTGCTCTGATGCATGCTGGGTAAAGAGGGAGGGGCCAGAACAACATCTGGAGACTGTGTCCGTTCTCCGTCTGCTGTTCTAGTGAATTGGAACAGTACTAGGGCTGAGGCTGATGGCGTTTCACGAGGACGCACAAGTACACAGATTGAGAAAAGGTGTGAGTTTGGGTTCAGGTTGGGGTTACTGTCAGGCAGAGAAAGGGTTAAAATGGTCCTCACACATATAGGAAGAGCAGAGTGTTTAATGTTTCTGGGTCTCTGCTCAGATCACCATCCAGCTCAAAGACGTGACGTCGATGACCAAGGAGAAGACGGCCAAGCTCATCCCCAACGCCATCCAGATCAACACTGAGAACGAGAAGGTATCCTTGGTTCTGACCCGGCTGGTTCCGGCTGGTTGTGACCCGGTTCTGACCCGGCTGGTTCTGACCCGGCTGGTTCTGACTCGGCTGGTTCTGACCCTGTCGTCTGCAGACAGGCTCTGTTCTCACGTCTCTCTCCTCTCCTCTCTGCCGCAGCATTTCTTCACGTCATTCGGGGCGAGGGAGCGCAGCTTCATGATGATTTTCCGCCTGTGGCAGAACGCGCTGCTGGACAAGGTGAGCCCCCCTCCCCCACCTGTTACTGCAGCAGGAAGGAGCTGTGCAGCCAGAACCAGCGGCCCAAAAAGACGGGTTAGATCGCTGTCAGGAAGTAAACCGGAGGGCGGAGAGTTTTACATGTTACCATGACGACAGCATCCGAGCTTGGTTCTGATCCCAGAGGAGGTTCAGGTCGTTTCCATCTGTTCCTCACTGATTGAGCAAGTTAGCGTCTGAGTTATCGGAGCAGAAACAGGCGGAGATCAGAACCAGCTGGAGGTTCTGATGGGAGGATCCAGACGGCCTGAAACGGGCTGCAGCGATGGGATCCTCCAGCTCAGAACCAGCCGCTGCTGATTGGATGTGATGTTCTTGATGGGTCGTTGGTTCTGATCCATCACGGTTTGCTGCTCAGAAAACCTTCCTGAATAGAAGCTGGATGTGTTCTAGTCCCTCAGCAGGAGGTTCTGGTTCTCCTGGTCTGGTTTCATTTCTGTGTTTGTCTCCAGTCTCTGTCCCCCAAAGAGCTGTGGCACATCGTGCACCAGTGTTACGGCACCGAGCTGGGCCTGACCAGCGAAGACGACGACTACGTCTCCCCCATCAGCGAGCACATGAACGGCCTGCTGTGAGTGACTCAGGCTAAGCATGGTGGGGGGCAGCTGTGCTGGAGGGGAACCTGTTCCTCTCCTGCCAGCCGCCGTTCCTCAAAAGCACAGCGTGTTCTGCAGCATTTCTATGCAAATATTTGGGTCAGGGCAGAAGTTTGCATAGAGGAACCCAGTTCTACCGTCTGACTGCTTCTCTTCCTGTTGCAGACCTGGAGACGAGTCGGTGTCTGTCACTGACCTGTTGGACCTGAGCACCGTGTCGGCCCCGTCTGCCGGCAGCTCCCCCCCTTCTGCCTCGGTCCACTGCGGGCTGACCAGCCCGGCGTCGGCCCCCGCCCTCAGCGGGACCTTCCTGCCCTCCTCTGCTTCCTGTCCGCCCATAGAGGTGCCCTCCTCTTCAGGAAGCAGGCTGGGCTCCGAGCCGCTGGAGCCCAGCCCCCCCAGCTCCCACGGCTCGCTGCCCACCATCAGCCCCTCCGTCAGCGCCTCGGTCTCTGCAGCTGCATCCTTCGTGAGTATCCTCAGCATCCATCGGCGTAAAGACGGGAAACTGCTGCCAGTTACTCTGTTAGAGGAGGAGGAGCCGTTAGCTGCTGACGGTTCGATAAAAGAACAAACGGTTTAACTCCTCCTAACTCTTTCCAGGAATTTCAGTTTAAAGATCTTTTTTAAGTTCGATGTTTATTCTGATCTTCTGCAGCTTCCTGTTTTCTAGCTAAACAAAGACTTCTGGAAGTCAAATTTCTATGATCAAATTAAAATATAGAATCTCTTGGGTTTGTTTTCTCCTAAAGACGTTGCTTTTCCATGTGACATCACACCAAAAGGGTTTATCTAATTAATTTTGTCTTTCTACAAACTCTAACAGTTTTTTTCTGAATCTTGAGTGAAAAAAATGTTTTTTTGCTCCATTCATCCAATTTTCTGAAATCTTAGGAAAAAACTGCAAAATATATTAGATATAAGCAGATAGATATAAACTGACGGCTCTGTGGAGATAGAAACAGAGATTTAACCCAGTTTAATGTCATTTAAAATGTTTTTATTTAGATAAAAAATCATTTATTTAAGGGTAAATGTAGCGAGTGATGAAACATGTTACCTAAACCAAGCGACCCAAATACCGTAAAGATGATCACTGGATCAACCATGAACTCAATTTTGCTAACATAATGAAAATGGATCTATGCTAATGTATTGAAATCAAAGTGACGCCAACAAGAAACATGTATAAGCTACGCTAACTATGCTAAAATGTTCAGCTGTTTCTCAATTCACTAGAACGCGAATACAGACCCGTGTTCTCGCCAAGTCTGTTCTAGACTAGAACACAGGAAAGTCTGGACTCGGGGAGAACGGGACACGCAGCATAAATCTGGGTCAATTGGACCAGAAGCGTACTGATGACATCACCACATTCAAAGCTAGTCTGGAGCTGCATTTCTCCTCCTCTTATTAATCGTCTCTAGATAATAATAAATTATGACTTTTTCTTTTAGTGGAGGAATAATAATGAACACAGTCAGATAAACACAAATCTAATGAACATTTTGTCAAATAAACCAAAAAAAACGTCCATCAGAGCCAGCAGTACGTCACACACGGCTATGCAGAGAGAGGGCTGCTGCAGACGGGCTGACGTCGGCCCCGGCCGCCGCAGACGGACCTGTTAAGGCGCAGAGAGGAAAACCTCTTCAGGTTTATTCTGTGGACGCATTCAGAGCTCTGATCCTCTGTCTCTATCAGACCCTAGACGAAGGAGGGGACAGTCAGTCCGAGTCGGCCAATCCTATGCCGCCGCCGCCAGCAGCTGCCAGTCTGGGAAACCTCTCCTCATTGGACATCACCAACGACGAAGAGCTGCCCACTGACCCCAGCAACTCGTCCGACACGCAGGAGGAGAGTAAGTATCTGTGGGAGAGGATGATGATGGTGTTTAATCCTGTATCTTCATCAGTAAATAAATAGATGATAAAACCGTTCATTTGTTGGAGGCGTTGGTGAGAACCCGCCGCTCAGACCTGCTCCTCATCGCTGCTCTGATGGGTCTAAAGCTGCCTTCATTGTCACGTCTTTATTGGAGGTCGGCCTGGAGGCTCCAGGGAGTCCATGTTCCCTTAGATAAGAAAATCTTGCATCTGTCAGACGCTAAAGTCCTCGTCTGCACTTACGGTTCCAGTACAACCATCAGACTGCAGAGTTTCTATGTCTGAAGAGCAGCTGCAGCAGGTTTCAGACTGAAGGAATGAAGACGGGTCGTTAATCAGAACGGAGCGACTGCTGGACGCTGCAGCTCAGCGCCTGCAGCGGACTCCTGCTGACTAACGCCGTCTCTATGGACCTAAAGTCGTAGGGAAGTCATTTAAATGTCAAATCAAACATGAACATAAATGTTCTCTTTATCAGACCAGATTGTCCCAAAATTTAGAACGTTTGTGTTTTTTCCTCCGTCATCTTCTGCAGGCCAGTTAGTTCTACGTCAGCCTGAACACCTAAATTCAGCCAATCATATATCAGCGGTCATCTGTCAATCAAATGTTTCCGGTCATACCATCTTGATTCATATGTCGCAGCTAATATACGCAACGGTTGAAATCACATTCACTTTATTCTCTCGTGTAAAGTCGTGAACCACTGAGGAGAATTCAGAGATGCGACGTTGGAACGGCGGCTTCCCTCCGACTTTATTATCAACCAATGCTTGAAGGCCGATGATGCAGACCCACGCCCGCCGCTCAGAGCCGCTCAGAACGCACCAGACTTCCTGCTCTCAGGGAAGAAAAAAGCCTCAACCTCAGAACCGTTTAAAGAGCTACGCTCAGTTCAAGGTCATCATGTAAAAAACAGCTTTGTTAGGCTCAGAGTTCATGCAGAACATGATGAGTCTGAAGTTAATGAGTCATAGAAGCAGAATGACTCCTTGTTTCTAAAGATTCACCTTAATTAAGCTTTAATCCTGGTTTAACCGGCTGATTGGACTTTAAACGCTCCCTCTCTGCGTCGCTGCTGCTTTTCCCCGTTTTTCCAAACTCAGCAGTGATGGTTTGGTTCTGCCTGGATGAACCGGGCCTAAAGGTCGACCCGAGGAGAGCCGCTGATTAACCCGACACCTGGTCTGCTGAACTTATCAGGGAAGCCGGGTTTGGTGCAGATGGGGAAATATCTGGAAGCTGTTGAGGAAAGTTCTGGACCTTTTCCACGGTGAGCCGGCCGTCAGAGTAGAACCGGACCTGGGATCAGAACCTGCTATAAATACTCTGGAGACATTTGGTTCTGCTTCAGAACCGGATGTTTTTCCATGGCCCTCAGAGCCACGCGTTTACGTCACTGACCATCCCCCCCTCCCACTGGGAGCCTGGAACTGGCACCAGTCTGTGACCTTCATGGTTTAACCGAGTCGGTACCAAACATGATTTATTCTACGCTGCAAAAGACCAGAAATAAACTCTAGTTTCTTAGATTTGCATCCAGTTTTATCACCAGAAGTCTGCTTCAGAATCAGAGAATGTTTAACTGGATGATCAATGATTTCTCAAGATTAAAGCTTCTTTAACGTGTCGCCATGGAGACATTTCATCTATCAGTGGGTTTTGCTAACATGCTAACCATCTAGAGAGACAGGAAGCATGTGGCTCATTTCCTGCATCGCTGTAGATCTACATCAGCTAGATTTCCTTCGATGGTTATCTCAACCTTCAGCTGTCTTTGAACGCATCCAGAGGGCCGATGGTAGTGATGCTGAATGAGGGGCCCTAGATGGGGCCCTAGATGGGGCCCTGTGGTGCAGCGAACATGGCGGACACGTTACAGGCTGTTTATGACTGCAGATGTTTAGGAAGCTTCCAGAAAGCGTTGATCTTCGTCAGGCTGTGACCGTCGGTCGGTCTGAGGCTGACGGTTCCTCCTCTCATCGCTCTAAAGATGGAACTGGAGGTTCTGTTTTTAACGCTGAGCCGCTTTGATTAACGATCAGCTGATCAGCTTCTTCTGACGCTCTGCTGAGGGGCGGAGCCTGGTTCTCATCATGCTAACTGATATCCTCGACCATGTTTAATGCTAAAAGATGTTTTCATTAAATTTCTAGATGCTACTACAGGTGATGTTAAATTGCTACAGAAACTCTACGTATCAATGATTGACCTTTCTAAGCGCCGTAGAGCCATCCAGCTAACTGCTCTGTTCTGTGTCATAGCTTCAGGTGAGGTGGAGGCGTTCTGCGCCGACCTGAGCGGGCGCCTCAACATCAACACGGTGGTGAGGATGAGCGTGGACAAGCTGCACGACCTGCTGTTCTCCGCAGACACTCACTTCATCCAGCACCTCTTCTCTCAGAGACACTTCACCGGTACGCAGCCCGTCTTCCTCCTCGTCTCCATGGCGATGGTTCGTGTCAGCCGTCTCTGCAGGACTTGTGTGAGCTTGTCTCTGCAGAGGACGGCTGCAGGTTTTTCCTGTCGAGGCGGTGTCCCTGGGAGCGTTTTGTTTTTGTTCTTGGCTGAGCTGACGCCTCCTGATGCGTCTTTGAGGCTCAGCGCTGGTTCTGCTGGTGGAACGGCGGATACTCCCAGTTCAATGCGGATACTCCCAATTCAATGTCTGACGCTGCTCCTTCATCTGGTCATTTCCATGAGTGTCAGACGGGTTTCTCCTCTGCTGGCAGCAGCAGCTCACTGCTGCTGCCAGCAGAGGCGGGAAAACCTCTGAGGTCAGAAGGTCGTCTCCTGAAGACCATCAACCCTCAGAGACGACGTCCCTCCTGAGAGGAGGACGTCTCTGTCAGCTGATGGTCCAGGAGGAGCCCTACCTCAGAGCCTACAGGTCAAAGGTCACGACCCTGAACCCGTCTGGAAGGAGGAAACCTCTTCTCTCTAGAACCAAGATGGCAGCAGAACAACAAGCTGCTTCTGGATGAAAAACCAGACTTCTGGGACAGAGGAGGTGGAGGTGATGGACCCGAACCCGGGAGGCAGAACCTCAGCGGTACTGTGGACCGTGACCTCCCTCCTCCAGTCAAGCATCTGCCCACCAGCCTGGTCACGACAGACCATAAATAACTACAGATCTATAAAAGACCAGATCGAAAAGAGAAGAATCCAAGTGTTGAAGTGGCCTAGTCCAATTCTATTCAGTTTATTTCTATAGCTCCAATTCACATCATGTCATCTCAGGTCACTTTATAGATCCAGATCAACCAGATCATCCAGTCAGATTGATTCAAAGTTTTCTATCTAAGGAAAACCAGCTGATTGCATCGACTCATTGACTCTTCAGCAATCCCTCACACTAAGCATGCTTGTAGCGACAGTGGAGAGGAAAAACTCCCTTTGAACAGGAAGAAACCTCCAGCAGAACCAGGCTCAGTGTGAGCGGCCATCTGCTGAGGCCGACTGGGGTTCAAGGAGACAGAAGCAGACATAGAAAAAGAAGCATAGATACAAAAAGCAACTGTCAACCAGCTCCACAGGCGGCCCCGTCCAGGAAACACACAGCCAGGCAGACGAGCTCCGAGCCAGCTCCCATGTCAGAGGATGAAGAGAGCACATCCAGTTAGTCACAGTCAGAGAAACAGGACTACACTGGAAAACAGGCCAAGCTCCAACATCTAGAAACAAAGGTGTTGATGGCAGCAGCACAGCTGATATTTCTCTCCAGGATGGAGTCACAGCCAAACAGGAACAGACCAGATGAAGCTACTATGAGAAAAAGCAGAGAGAGCAGAACGTTAGAGATTGAACTAACAGATTCTGCAGAGTGGGAGAATAGAGATAGAATGAAGCAGAATGATGAAATGGGGGTCCCTATGTCCTCCAGCAGTCTAAGCCTATAGCAGCAGAACTATAGAGATAGCTCAGGATAACCTGAGCCACTCTAACTAGAAGCTTTATCAAAAAGGAAAGTTTTAAGCCTAGCCTTAAAAGTAGACAGGGTGTCTGCCTCACGGACTAAAACTGGTAGTTGGTTCCACAGGAGAGGAGCCTGAGAACTAAAAGATCTGCCTCCCATTCTACTTTTAGAAATTCTAGGAACCACTAGTAAACCTGCAGATTGAGAGCGAAGTGCTCTGTTAGGAACATAAGTCCAGTTCTGCTCTCCTTAGGAGCTTTCCTCAGAACAGGGAGGTCCGCTCAGATGTTTCCAGATGTTTGAAGGTCAGACTGAGCAGAGGTCGCTGACTCCTCCTTCTCAGCTGGGGGCGGCCTGCAGTAAACGCTAGAGTTTTGGTTCCACCAGTTCTCCCAGTTCCATCAGGAGCTCCCAGTGAGATCCTAAGTGATCCGATCTCTCTTTGAGTTCCAGCTGAGGAACATGGAGTCAGATCTCTGCTGCGTCCTCTGATGGTTTTCTGCTTCGTCCCTCAGACCTGTCGGTGGGTGAATGGCAGCAGGACGCCAGCAGCGGGACCTCCAGCCGCGTCCTGAGCTACACCATCGCCCTCAACAACCCGCTGGGCCCTAAAACGGCTCCCGTGGTCGAGACGCAGGTTGGTTTGCTGTCAGCGGGTCCTCCTGAAACCAGAGCAGCTCTGATTGGTCCTGCAGGTTCCGCAGGATGTGACCCGCATGCAGGAACTCACTTCTTCGTGCGTCTCCCTCCTTCCAGACGCTTCATAAGAGCTCCTCCAGAGGGGAGTGCTACGTGGTGGACTCTGAGGTCATCACCTCAGGAATCCCGTACCAGGACTACTTCTACACCGTCCACAGATACTGCCTGACCTCCATCAACAAACACAAGAGCCGAATCAGGTGGGTTCCTTTATTCCTCCACCGGATGATGACGCCATCAGCTCGCCGCAGAGCTCACCCAGCTAATAACCGCAAGATAAACAGGACAGATAAAACCAGCAGCAGAGATCAGATCTGTCGGTCCGTTTGGGCTTCCTGTCTCAGCTGGTGCAGCAGCCGTGGTCGATGAGGTCATGCTGCAGCTGCAGCCTGAGAAAAGCTGCAAACGAGATGTTTTCATTTCAGTTTTAACCAAAACAAAAAAACAGAAAATTGTGGCTTTAATGAGGCTGGTTGATTCTGACGTCATTCTCCTGGTTCTGGTGTCGTCCTCCTGGTTCTGGTGTCGTCCTCCTGGTTCTGGTGTCGTCCAGCGTGGTTCTGGTGTCGTCCAGCGTGGTTCTGGTGTCGTCCAGCGTGGTTCTGGTGTCGTCCAGCGTGGTTCTGGTGTCGTCCTCCTGGTTCTGGTGTCGTCCAGCGTGGTTCTGGTGTCGTCCAGCGTGGTTCTGGTGTCGTCCTCCTGGTTCTGGTGTCGTCCAGCGTGGTTCTGGTGTCGTCCTCCTGGTTCTGGTGTCGTCCTCCTGGTTCTGGTGTCGTCCTCCTGGTTCTGGTGTCGTCCTCCTGGTTCTGGTGTCGTCCTCCTGGTTCTGGTGTCGTCCAGCGTGGTTCTGGTGTCGTCCTCCTGGTTCTGGTGTCGTCCAGCGTGGTTCTGGTGTCGTCCTCCTGGTTCTGGTGTCGTCCTCCTGGTTCTGGTGTCGTCCTCCTGGTTCTGGTGTCGTCCTCCTGGTTCTGGTGTCGTCCAGCGTGGTTCTGGTGTCGTCCTCCTGGTTCTGGTGTCGTCCAGCGTGGTTCTGGTGTCGTCCTCCTGGTTCTGGTGTCGTCCAGCGTGGTTCTGGTGTCGTCCTCCTGGTTCTGGTGTCGTCCTCCTGGTTCTGGTGTCGTCCTCCTGGTTCTGGTGTCGTCCTCCTGGTTCTGGTGTCGTCCAGCGTGGTTCTGGTGTCGTCCTCCTGGTTCTGGTGTCGTCCAGCGTGGTTCTGGTGTCGTCCTCCTGGTTCTGGTGTCGTCCAGCGTGGTTCTGGTGTCGTCCTCCTGGTTCTGGTGTCGTCCAGCGTGGTTCTGGTGTCGTCCTCCTGGTTCTGGTGTCGTCCAGCGTGGTTCTGGTGTCGTCCAGCGTGGTTCTGGTGTCGTCCTCCTGGTTCTGGTGTCGTCCTCTTGGTTCTGGTGTCGTCCAGCGTGGTTCTGGTGTCGTCCAGCGTGGTTCTGGTGTCGTCCAGCGTGGTTCTGGTGTCGTGCAGCGTGGTTCTGGTGTCGTCCTCCTGGTTCTGGTGTCGTCCAGCGTGGTTCTGGTGTCGTCCTCCTGGTTCTGGTGTCGTCCAGCGTGGTTCTGGTGGCGTTCTCCTGCAGTCTGTATTGAGCTGGTTGCTGCAAACACAGCCGTCTGTTTTAAAGCTGTGATTCTTTGGCAGTCAGACGCTCTGACCGCCGCTCACCTGACCGACCTTCACTCAATCACTGTTTGCTCTGAGATAAGCGTCCAATCCCTGATTAGATAAGGAAGACGGCCTGGGAATGATGGCGGTTAGTGGGCAGAGGCTGCAGGAGAGGATTCAGAGAGTTTAGAGCTGATCAGCAGGCGAGGGATCTGATTGGTTCATTGGTGATTGATCTGATTGGTTCATTGGTGATTGATCTGATTGGTTCTTTGGTGATTGATCTGATTGGTTCTTTGGTGACTGATCTGATTGGTTCATTGGTGACTGATCTGATTGGTTCATTGGTGACTGATCTGATTGGTTCATTGGTGACTGATCTGATTGGTTCATTGGTGACTGATCTGATTGGTTCATTGGTGACTGATCTGATTGGTTCATTGGTGACTGATCTGATTGGTTCTTTGGTGACTGATCTGATTGGTTCATTGGTGACTGATCTGATTGGTTCTTTGGTGATTGATCTGATTGGTTCTTTGGTGACTGATCTGATTGGTTCATTGGTGACTGATCTGATTGGTTCATTGGTGACTGATCTGATTGGTTCATTGGTGATTGATCTGATTGGTTCTTTGGTGACTGATCTGATTGGTTCATTGGTGACTGATCTGATTGGTTCATTGGTGATTGATCTGATTGTTTCTTTGGTGATTGATCTGATTGGTTCATTGGTGACTGATCTGATTGGTTCTTTGGTGACTGATCTGATTGGTTCATTGGTGACTGATCTGATTGGTTCATTGGTGACTGATCTGATTGGTTCTTTGGTGACTGATCTGATTGGTTCATTGGTGACTGATCTGATTGGTTCATTGGTGACTGATCTGATTGGTTCATTGGTGACTGATCTGATTGGTTCATTGGTGATTGATCTGATTGGTTCTTTGGTGATTGATCTGATTGGTTCTTTGGTGACTGATCTGATTGGTTCATTGGTGACTGATCTGATTGGTTCATTGGTGACTGATCTGATTGGTTCATTGGTGACTGATCTGATTGGTTCATTGGTGATTGATCTGATTGGTTCATTGGTGACTGATCTGATTGGTTCATTGGTGACTGATCTGATTGGTTCATTGGTGACTGATCTGATTGGTTCATTGGTGACTGATCTGATTGGTTCATTGGTGATTGATCTGATTGGTTCTTTGGTGACTGATCTGATTGGTTCATTGGTGACTGATCTGATTGTTTCTTTGGTGATTGATCTGATTGGTTCATTGGTGACTGATCTGATTGGTTCTTTGGTGACTGATCTGATTGGTTCATTGGTGACTGATCTGATTGGTTCATTGGTGACTGATCTGATTGGTTCATTGGTGATTGATCTGATTGGTTCTTTGGTGATTGATCTGATTGGTTCTTTGGTGACTGATCTGATTGGTTCATTGGTGACTGATCTGATTGGTTCATTGGTGACTGATCTGATTGGTTCATTGGTGACTGATCTGATTGGTTCATTGGTGACTGATCTGATTGGTTCATTGGTGACTGATCTGATTGGTTCATTGGTGACTGATCTGATTGGTTCATTGGTGACTGATCTGATTGGTTCTTTGGTGACTGATCTGATTGGTTCATTGGTGACTGATCTGATTGGTTCATTGGTCAGGGACCTCAGAGGAAATTTCCAGAGATTGAAGGAGGTTTTGGTACGCCAGCATTCAGAACATGGAGGCCAATCACTGTATAACCGCGGATGTGTTCGCCAGTGATTGGCCTCCATGTTCTGAATGCTGGCGTACCATAAAGAATAAATGATGAACAGTTTAGTTTGTGCCTTCAAGTCGTTGCCCATAGGACGACGTTACTGGATATAACCTAACGGAATATCTTCAGAACGGCTCCAAATGACACTAAACTCATATGGGAGAGTAGAACATGATGGTATAACGGAAAATCAAGGAACCAATGGAAAAAAACGGCGTTCCCCCTTTAAGGAGATGAATAAAGAAACGAGTCGCTTTAAACAATTAATCAGTTTAGTAGAAATTTCCAGTTAATTGTATTTAATATTTATGTTCCATTAACATGGGTGTTAATCTTTTAATGTAGTTTTACTCCATAAACTGAACCAAAGAGCAGAGAGACTCCTGCATGTGAAGCTGTTTTATTTCTATGTCAATCAGACTCATTAGTGCTGAGCCTCTTTAACAGGTTAGAAGATTAACTGTGGATTATAATCCCATCAGGATTTATGGAAATAATTTCACCAAACCAGCCTGCAACCATAATCAGTCCCCTTTCATTTCACCTCAGCCTCATGATGCTGCTGCAGCTTTAGCCACACCCACTGCCAGCTAATCAGCCAATGGGCTTTCATTGCTAAAAGCTACTATTTCCTTTTTAAAATCAAGTTTTTGTTTAATTAATAATTTAGACTAATCCATAATGTTCAATGTACTCAGAAAAACAAGATGCTGTTCCTCTACTGAAACACTTTGATTTGGCAAAGATTCTCCAAACTGTTGGATGTTTCCAGTTAAATGACTAATTTTTTAACTGGTTTCCAGTGCTTGATGACGTAGCATAAAGACTGGTTTCAGCAGGTCTGGAGGAGCGAGAGGCTTCCAGCAAAGTCTGCAGAAAAACTCTAAATGTCAGCAAACGAAATCACATGGAGCTTATTGTTGCCATCACACCTCAGCACAAAATCCAGTATTAGCAGAAAACCAGTATAACCAGTAACAGACAGCAGAGCAGTCTGACACCAGCTTCAGCGCTGAAGTTCTCTGATCCTGAAAACTACAGAAAGCATCAGAAACTATCCCAGCTGGTAAAATAGGGAGTAAACACTGGAATTACTCTACTAACCACAATAAATACTTTTTACATTTATTTAACACCAACATTAACATCTTCTAATGAAATAATTTAATATTTGACTGATTTTATTATTTTTCTTACGCCTCTAGTGTTAATATTTCCAGACTGAACCTTTTAGAGACCAGTCTGCACACTGGGTGTCTTTAAACTGGACTCTGGATTAGTTCCTGTTTCTGCTTGAACAGCAGCGCCTCCTGCTGGATGGCAGCAGCACTACAGCAGGAAATGTTCCAGCAGCTGTTATCAGTTCATCTGATAAAAACGATTTGAATCTAATAAACTGATCGTTAAAATGAAGTCGATGGTTTGTTTGATTCTCCTTATTGGATTAATGGTTCAGATCAGCTGATTAAAGAAGCGAAGAGTCCCAGCCGTCCAGGGGCCGGTTTAGGAAATGTGGGGCCCTTGGCAAAGACAGGCTGGGGGCCCTCTGAATGGAGAATCCATCAAACAGCCCCATTCTCCAGATAGAGAAATGTTAATAGAATAGACATCCATGATCTGTTCTAGGTTGTGTCCCTCTCTTCTTGTCCCTTTTCTTCTTGTTTTCCTCTCTATGTTTTGTACTCAGCTGACTTTTCATGCTGTCTCTAAAGGAATGAAAGATTTTTTCCAAGCACTAAGCTCACTTAGCTGATTGCTCCTTCCTGTGTTTCCAAAAAGGCCAAAGTAAATAACCCAGTCCTTCTTTTCACTGTAGACAAGCCATGATCTGCTTATCTGTTCTCCATTTTTCATTTGGATGAAATAATAGCTGCATGAATCATGACAGCAGACAAGATAGAGGAGAGCAGGAGGCGGGGTTACCAATCTACTCGCTCTGGAGAGCAGAGTTCGCTGCTTTTAGATGTTGTCTCCAAAGTCTCCAGTAGCAGAAAAAAGTCTCTAGATTTGGCGCTAGGAGCTTTTTAGAAATCAAAGTGCTAGAGGGGTCTGAAAAGTGGCTAAATATAGCGACTAAAGCGCTAAGTTGGCAACACTGCTCTTTGCATGGTTTGTTTTCAAATGGTTTGCTGCTGTCTGTTTGGACCTTTCTGAACATGTGCAGCAAATGGACTGATCCAATATGGTGGACACTGAAGGGGGGGGCTGAGACACACTTAATATTATCAGCGTTCTGATGGCATTTTAGCCAAAGGATTTTAATCAAAAACTGTTGCTCTGGTTTCCCTCCATGCAGAGTTTCCTCAGACATCTGCTACAAGAAGCAGCCGTGGAGTCTGGTCAAAGCGCTCATAGAGAAGAATACCTGGAGCGGCATCGAGGAGTACTACAGGAACCTGGGTGAGTCCTACAGGAACCTGGGTGAGTCGGCGCAGGCGCTCAACAGGAAGTGTCCGTCTAGTGGAGGGGAACCTAATCGTGTGCAGCTCTGCTCTGAAGAGGAGCTTCTTCACGAGGAAATGAGGCCTAAATGCATCAGAGCTCACTGAAGATACATGACCTTTAAGGGTTGTACAGGTTCCTGATGGGTCCTGCAGGGTCCTGATGGGTTCTACATGTTCCTGCAGGGCTCTATGGGTTCTGGTCTCAGGGTTGGGGTTAGCTCCGTTAGCAACTGGCTAAGCTAAGAGTCGCTGCAGCTCCTCATTCCGCTCATTCTCTCCTTCCTCTTCTGACACACAGAGGGCGAAGTCTGCAAGCTGGAGACCCTGCTGCAGACTGAGGTTTCCGTGGTAACCACAGCCGAGGACGCGGGTCCGGACGCCGCAAAGACCCCGCCCTCCCTGCGACGGCGAAAACGCACCTGCTCCAGGAGGCAGAGCGAGAGGGAGGGAGGCGGCGCTGAGGGCGGAGAGCGAGGAGAGCGAGGAGCGGGAGAAGAGCGGAACCGAAGGGAGACCAGTAAGTCAGCAGCAGCTCTGCTGCCCTCTGGTGGCCGGATGGAAGTTCAGTCATTTTTAAAACTTCTTTCTGTTCGTCTGATTAATAAAAAATCCTCCGAGCTGAAAAAAGTCAAAGATGCTTGGAAGCAAAGGATCAGGATCAGAGCTGGAGGCATGAGGGGGTTCTGGTTGGTTCGGATCGGTTCTGATTGGTTCTGATCGGTTCTGATTGGTTCTGATCGGTTCTGTTTGGTTCTGATTGGTTCTGGATGGTTCTGTTCTGTTTCCAGGCTCTCAGTTCATGAAACTGGGCGATCGCTCTCGCGGTGGAGGACCCACCAGCATCTCCACCATCCTCCTCATCGTCAGCTTCATGTGAGTCCAGCTTCCTTTATCACCTCAGTTCTGCTTCCCCTGAAGGTTCTATTGGGTCAGAACATCTCAGTAATGAAACTGTCTGCATAAAGATCAGTTTCTCAGAAATGGAAATCATTAAATCGGACCAATCTAGAGGACTGGGCTCGGTTCTGATCTGAATCCAGTCCTTCTCTAGTTTTTCCTTCCACTCGACTTTCCCGGCCGTTTGAATTTAGACCAAAACTTTTCTGAGAAACTGAACTTTTGGGTTTTTATTGGAAATAAATTAGTAATTTTTATCCAGATGAACAGAAATCAAAGTTTTGCACTGATTCTTCAGTTTGCTGAGACCCCCCTCCCCCCCCCCATAATCAGACTAACAGACGCGTTTCTCCCCGTTTCTCTCCCCCTGCGTCTGCGTAGGATCTGTATCAGGTTGGTATGCAGAGCTTCGTTTCTCTGGATGTGAATGAAAGACGTTTGAAAATGAGAAAAATCCACCGTTTCAGTCAGTCTGGGGCCTCAGGTCCAACATGGCCGCCTTGGCTGAGGTCCAGGTCGGAGGAGGCGGCAGCTCAGCGGGATTGGGTCCAATTAGAGCAGAACCTTGGAGCTGAGGAGGTTCAGACAGAACCGCAGGTGCTGGTTCCTCTGAGAAACGACCAATCATCAACCAGAGCCGCAGAGCGGAGCTCATCTACACATTTCAGCTCTATGTTCTTCCAGCTGATGAGATCCAACAGAACAGGAAGCGATTGGGTCACAAAAAAGATCAAACTGATCTCCAGTGATGTAGATCTACCATTAAGAGACGGGCTGCGTCATGAGCAGAGAAGTCCTGCTGCTCCTCCGTCTGGATGAAATATACGTGAGGAGCTCAGTGCTGCCCCCTAACATCTGAAGGAAGCACTGCGCTGCAGCCTGCAGACATTTAGGCCCCGAAAACCGCGTCTGACTTTTGAATCTACGATCAGATTATTTTCCCTGTCCCGCTGATGGCGTGTAGAGAAGCTCCGCCCAGGCAGGATGAGCAGATCTATGCAGATTTTTATCACTTCTATCTTTGTGCTACAAAAACACATTAAAAACTATTTCCCACATTTGACTGGAACACATTATGAAAAGTTATTTAAAAAAACAAATAAAAATAAAACCACTGTTTCATTCTATAAAGCAAAGCTCTATTTAACCCTTTATAGGAGACAATCCTTTGAAAATCAACATTTCCAGCCAATAGTGTGACTGGAATCCAGGAAAAGACCTCATTACCTTTGGACATTTAATAAATATGGAGATTTTATGTGTAAAAAAATGAATATCAATGTTATAACAAAAAAAGGCAAACTTCCCGAATATATTTAGAAAAATAACAAAAGTGCTTCTAGAAGAAATTCATGAAAAACACTTTGAGAGAAAGAAACATTTATTTTGGTCCAACATTAATGCTGATACTGGAACAGTTTTTAGTTTATAAACCTAAATATAATTGTTAACGAGGCTTATTAACTTTTTAACTTTTTAAATTTTCAATTAGTTTTTATCTTTTTCTCTTGACTTTTTTTTGTAACTTAATTTACATTAGGTAAATATATCATCTGATTATCAGCTGAATGGCTGGGTATAGATGTTGTCCTTCTAGATCTCACTGAGGGACGGGGGGGGGGACTTTAAAATGCAGAATTTAATTTATCTCATTTCATATAATTTATTCTATTAACTCAAGATAAAAGTTTTTACTCAGTCTGTTTCACCTGCAAGGCCGCGCAGTTCCCCTGCACAGTGATGCATCTAGAACCAGAACAAATAGAATGTTCATCTATTAAAACATGAGATCTACGTCTAAAGAACAGAAAAACGCAGCAATGAACTCTGTGGGACGGTTTCCATGGCGACAGAGGTGACTCTGAGAGATCTGGGAAGTTTTTCTTTCTTTTTTTCCATAAAGAGGTGAGAGATGCGCTGCGCTGACCTGCTCTGTCTGCTCCTCCTTATTCTGGAGGATCTCTACTTTATCCGTTTCTATCTGAACTCCCATCATGGGGAAAGTTTCTATTTTAATGTTTTATTGTTTTTGCTCCAGTCTGTCCTGCTCACTATAAACGCGATGGGCGACTCCAGACCGACTCTTTCTCCGTGGAGGATTTTCCTCCAAAGCGGATGAGTTTTACTTTCTAACCGCGTCGCTCTTCCTGTCATGAAATTGCTGCTGAATTTCTACGTAAACCGACCTGCGCTCTCTCTCAACGGGGGCTATGCTGCCCCCTGCTGGAAATCATCCCCAGCTGCTGGTTTCTATCAGATAGACATGATGGTAGAACATCAGAACCGGACCTGGACCTCAGCTGCTTTGATTCAGGCTGCAGGGAAGCTAAATGCTGTCTGATGATGATGATGATGGCGGTGGATTGTTCTCATGCCTTCATCTCTGTGGTTGGGTTTGTTGCCCGTCATCCTGATGTTCCTGTTTTCCTCTGGTCGCCGCTGACGGCCATCTGTCTGTGAACCCTCAGCCTGGTGGTGCTGGTCGTCCTCAACATGCTGCTGTTCTACAAGCTCTACGCTCTGGAGAAAGCGGCTCACACCCTGGAGAGGTGGCACTCCTACTCTGTGGCTGACAGGTAGACTCCGCCTCCTCGCCTCCCAGTCAACGCTGGACTTCTTCTTCACTGGTTTCTGATCCATTAACCAAACATTTCCCCTAAAATCTCCTTTGATTCTTTTAGGGTTTAAAAGCTTCTAAAAAGAGTTTAGTTGAAAGTAATATTTAACCAGATTGAGCAGCTTGCAGCTGAAAATGATTTTAAAGGACTAAAAGATCCTCGGAAGCAAAACTAGAAGCTCTGATCAGTTCTAGATCATTTATTTAATAATTTAACAAATATTCAGGGCTGAAATAATCTAACCCTAACCTTTTGCTGTTTTCTTGGTCAAAATTTCAGGAGGTTTTAGCTTTGAGTTAGTCTAGCCTAGCTGATGTCATGTTAGCTTAGCTATGGGTGTTTAGCCTAGCTGATGTCATGTTAGCTTAGCTATGGGTTTTTAGCCTAGCTGATGTCATGTTAGCTTAGCTATGGGTGTTTAGCCTAGCTGATGTCATGTTAGCTTAGCTATGGGTGGTTAGCCTAGCTGATGTCATGTTAGCTTAGCTATGGGTGTTTAGCCTAGCTGATGTCATGTTAGCTTAGCTATGGGTGGTTAGCCTAGCTGATGTCATGTTAGCTTAGCTATGGGTGTTTAGCCTAGCTGATGTCATGTTAGCTTAGCTATGGGTGTTTAGCCTAGCTGATGTCATGTTAGCTTAGCTATGGGTGGTTAGCCTAGCTGATGTCATGTTAGCTTAGCTATGGGTGTTTAGCCTAGCTGATGTCATGTTAGCTTAGCTATGGGTGGTTAGCCTAGCTGATGTCATGTTAGCTTAGCTATGGGTGTTTAGCCTAGCTGATGTCATGTTAGCTTAGCTATGGGTGTTTAGCCTAGCTGATGTCATGTTAGCTTAGCTATGGGTGGTTAGCCTAGCTAATGTCATGTTAGCTTAGCTATGGGTGTTTAGCCTAGCTGATGTCATGTTAGCTTAGCTATGGGCGGTTAGCCTAGCTGATGTCATGTTAGCTTAGCTATGGGTGTTTAGCCTAGCTGATGTCATGTTAGCTTAGCTATGGGTGTTTAGCCTAGCTGATGTCATGTTAGCGTAGCTATGGGCGGTTATCCTAGCTGATGTCATGTTAGCTTAGCTATGGGTGTTTAGCATAGCTGATGTCATGTTAGCTTAGCTATGGGTGCTTAGCCTAGCTGATGTCATGTTAGCTTAGCTATGAGTGTTTAGCCTAGCTGATGTCATGTTAGCTTAGCTATGGGTGTTTAGCCTAGCTGATGTCATGTTAGCTTAGCTATGGGTTTTTAGCCTAGCTGATGTCATGTTAGCTTAGCTATGGGTGGTTAGCCTAGCTGATGCCATGTTAGCTCAGCTATGGGTGGTTAGCCTAGCTGATGTCATGTTAGCTTAGCTATGGGTGTTTAGCCTAGCTGATGTCATGTTAGCTTAGCTATGGGTGTTTAGCCTAGCTGATGTCATGTTAGCTTAGCTATGGGTGTTTAGCATAGCTGATGTCATGTTAGCTTAGCTATGGGTGCTTAGCCTAGCTGATGTCATGTTAGCTTAGCTATGAGTGTTTAGCCTAGCTGATGTCATGTTAGCTTAGCTATGGGTGTTTAGCCTAGCTGATGTCATGTTAGCTTAGCTATGGGTTTTTAGCCTAGCTGATGTCATGTTAGCTTAGCTATGGGTGGTTAGCCTAGCTGATGCCATGTTAGCTCAGCTATGGGTGGTTAGCCTAGCTGATGTCATGTTAGCTTAGCTATGGGTGGTTAGCCTAGCTGATGTCATGTTAGCTCAGCTATGGGTGGTTAGCCTAGCTGATGTCATGTTAGCTTAGCTATGGGTGTTTAGCCTAGCTGATGTCATGTTAGCTTAGCTATGGGTGTTTAGCCTAGCTGATGTCATGTTAGCTTAGCTATGGGTGTTTAGCCTAGCTGATGTCATGTTAGCTTAGCTATGGGTGTTTAGCCTAGCTGATGTCATGTTAGCTTAGCTATGGGCGTTTAGCCTAGCTGATGTCATGTTAGCTTAGCTATGGGTGGTTAGCCTAGCTGATGTCATGTTAGCTCAGCTATGGGTTTTTAGCCTAGCTGATGTCATGTTAGCTTAGCTATGGGTGGTTAGCCTAGCTGATGTCATGTTAGCTTAGCTATGGGTGCTTAGCCTAGCTGATGTCATGTTAGCCTAGCTATGGGTGCTTAGCCTAGCTGATGTCATGTTAGCTTAGCTATGGGTGGTTGGCCTAGCTATGTTTAGCCTGGCTGATGTCATGTTAGCTTAGCTACGGTTGGTTGGCCTAGCTCAGTTTAGCCTAGCTGATGTCATGTTAGCTTAGCTATGGGTTCTTAGCCTAGCTGATTTCATGTTAGCTTAGCTATGGGTGGTTGGCCTAGCTCAGTTTAGCCTAGCTGATGTCATGTTAGCTTAGCTATGGGTTCTTAGTCTAGCTGATTTCATGTTAGCTTAGCTATGGGTGGTTGGCCTAGCTCAGTTTAGCCTAGCTGATGTCATGTTAGCTTAGCTATGGGTTCTTAGCCTAGCTGATGTCATGTTAGCTTAGCTACGGTTGGTTGGCCTAGCTCAGTTTAGCCTAGCTGATGTCATGTTAGCTTAGCTACGGTTGGTTGGCCTAGTTCAGCTTAGCCTAGCGGTTTTAGCTTGTAGCTTCCCCTGTTTTGTTGGACAGTAAAGTTTAAGGAGGATCCGCAGCTTTAAGGTTGAGTATTGGATCAGAACCTTGGACAGTTCTAACGTGGCGCCGTTCTCTCATCAGTCCTCTGCCCCAGACGGCCGGGGAGTGGGCCCAGGTCCTGCACCTCCAGAGGCAGTTCCACCAGGCCCAGCTCAGCAAGTGGCAGCAGATCCTGCAGTCCTCCGTGTCCCTCCTGGACCAGGTGAGTCCCTCTCTGCTCCAGAGGACGCTCTGTCCCGCAGCCGGCGGCTCATCGCTTCTGTTTGCTCCACAGATGAAGCATTCTCTGGAGAAACTCCACAGAAACATCGAGGTACCGGAGCTGCAGGACCCCCCCGACTCCCTGGCAGAGCCCCCGTCTGAGACCTGAGCCCCCCCCAATCAGAATCGGGTCCCGGTCGGACCGCTCCTTCCTCAGCTCTCCTCCTGACTGACTTGAAGTAGCTTCAGACGCCTTTAGCTTCGACCAATGAGAAGCTTCCAGAACCACAGCAATAACCCCCCCACCCCGCCAGCTGGGTCCCATGTGTATATAAGTGAACCGGCCCACTGGTGGGCCCAGAACCTGACCTGCTGCCTTCTCCGGATCGGTTCCACCCTGAGACGGACCATCTTAGTATTTATTAGAACCTCTGAAGTCTCGTCCTGCTTCCAGCGGTCATGTGACGGCTGCTCTGCGCTCTGATTCGCTGGTTTTGGACCAACCAGATGCAGCAAAAATGATTTCTGAATGTTTCCCTGCTGCTGGTTTAGATCAACACTGAGGAAGAAGATGATGTGAGTGAAGAAGAGGAGCGGGTGCGTTGCCATGGTTACGTTCTCCTTGTTTTTGCTCATTTTTCTTTGTTTTTTTTTTTTTGTCCAAATCTTCATTTTCCAGCCGAATCAGAACAAAACGGACCAAGCAGAACTTTTCAGACCCGGAGCATCAAAAAGGGAAACAGTATTTTTTTTTTTTTTTGTGTTAAATGATCAGAATTTGCTTTTCATTTTTTTTTTATTGCTTTTCCACTTCCTGTTGTCGTTTTCTGAGGTCCTTTCATTTCTGAGAATCGGTTCATCGTTTCTTCTTCTGCTCCGAGCTTCAGCTGAAGCTCGATGGCCCTGCTGTGCACGGTCACCATGGAAACGAACAGCTGATGTATTTATTATTAAAGGTTTAGGAGAGAATGTTCTGTAAAGTTATGATTGTAAAAAAAGCAAAGAAGCAGAGAAATGAAAATCCTAAAACATGAAACGATCCTCCTTCTGTTTTTGTTTTTTCTTGGTGTGAAAAAATACTGGAAGAATAGATAAATAACTGTTTAAATAATCAAAATAAAATTTTAATTAAATAAAGCCTAATACTTTGATTCATTTTCTAGCAAAACTAAAAACAACTTTAAACCGATAAAACGTTATTTTGGCTTCAAAGAAACGTGATTAATCCCCTTTTTTAGATTTTATCTTCAGGAATTTGAAATAATCCAATGAAAAACTTTGAGTTAAAAATTTGTTTATTCAAATGTTTTGTTTATTTAATAGCCTCAGACATCCAAATAAGCCCTAAACTGATCATTAATTAACTCATTTAAAATGATCTGATCTTTAAAAAGTATTTAAAGGCATAAAATAAAAAAAAATAAGTCTTTCATAGGTCTTAGAATTGTCACCAAGTCATAAATGGGATTTTATTTTTGTAATTCACTGGGACGGACTGGGCCGCGCTTTGCTGCCCCCTGGTGGTCACTGTTGGAAGAAAAGTTGAAGGTCAGATTTGGCTCCTTGGAGCAAAGCGCTGACCCTCAAAGCAAAGAACATTTAAAACACTTCAGGATGAAAAATTTAAATGTTTCAAACGATCCCATTAAAAAGCAAATTAAGAAATAAAATAATTTATTTAGGGGAGTTTTTCCTTTGGCTTCAGTCTGAAGGGAAACTATTTTTATAACATTTTCTGTTGCTGTTTTTAATAATAATTGATTTGATAGATTTTTGTTGTAAATCCTGAAAATGTGCATTTTCTCGACATTTTCTGAATTTCATTGCAGTTTTTGGTTCATAGATTAAAACTGATTCATTTTCTTCGTGTTTTAGATGCTGAAGGTTTTTAAGTCGGAGTGACGTCACTGCTCTCCGTTTTCTATCTTTCAACAAACTTTTTAAAAGGTGAAACTTTTATAAAACGTCTTTGTTCACAAACAAGAGGAGCTGATGGGCCTCCAGGCTTCATCCTGAAAGGGGAGGAGCCAGAATGGAAGCTCCTCCCCCTGATGGAGAGGAACGCCTCTATGGTTTCACACGGCGGCTATTAAAAGTGACACCAGGTGTGTTTGTTTCTGGATGAGGATGAACCCATTAGTTCATTATAATGGGATATCAGGCCTGTTTCACTGTAGCTGCGGATTAAACTGGGATTATCTTGGTTACCTGATCCAGTCCAGATTAACAGCCAGGCTCAATTAATCCTGTTCATTGGCCGTTGATCAGAAACCAACCAGTTTCTGGTTGATCATTCTGCTGCCTGCCTGAGCGGTACCTCCATTCTGAGGGTGAAACCAGAACCACTGGAGATCAGAAGCTCAGGTTCTCCTCATGGTTCCTCTCTGAGCTGAATTAACAGAAACAGTTTAAAGGATAGAAGGAGATTCAGAACCTCCACGGCTGCAGGAGGAGGAACCAGGAGGGAGCTACTGGGACAGGAACTAGGCCACTGGTTTAACTGGAGATGGAAGCAGAACATGGAGGCTTTGAATGGTCTGGATGCATCTTCAGCAGAATCTGGATCGGCCCACAAGTCCAGAACCGGTTCCTCCCTGGTTCCCTCCAGGATCCCCCCCCCCAGACACAGGAACCTTTGAACACCTGAAACGCATCAGAGGATAAGATCTGACTGAAGCTCCTTCTGAGTTCAACATTTATAGAAAATAAACCACATTTAGTTAATTAGTTCTGTTTGAAAACTGACAGGATTAATGTGAATTTTTAATTAATTTCACACAGGGACTAAATTACAGGATAATCAGGAATAATCTGTTCTAATCTGAGCTTCTACTGCTAATTTTAATTAGTTAATATTTGATCAAAGGGAAATTTAATCATAAATTAAGATATTCTGATCATGTTTGGTTCATTAAAGTTTTTAATCACTATGATCAACTTTATGCTCTTATTACATAAAAATGGATTCAGAATCCAATGATTTTTATAAATCATCCTTTAAAATGTTAAAACAGGATTAACTTTTTAATCCAACAGAAGATAGAAAATATTTCAAAAGTGTATAAAAATAGAAAATCTGAATTAACTACTAGAATGTTTTCCTTTTTTATCGTGCAGCTAAATTATAGAAAACGTTTTTGGGGAAAAGACGTTTTTCTAAGATGTTTGCAGATGTTTGTTTCTGCAGAGATGCTGTTTAAAAAGGAATCCAGATGTTTTCTACAGAAACATCTGGACTTGATGCAGCTTCGCTGCTCGGCTGAGTTTCCAGGAACCAGAATCCGGATCCGACGGAAAACCCAGACATGTTTCAGAACCTATCTGGTTAATCTGGTTCTGGGGTCAGAACTGCTTCAGTTTAAATCTCTGAAAACAGAAAATAAATCTGATTCCAGAAAAGTAGAAATTCAGTCTTTCATGTGTGCGTTCTGGATTTGGACTCTATGTTCTCGGTTCTGGTTCTGCTCTCTGAGACCAGAACATGATCCAAACATCTCGGATCGCTGCTCTGTAGAAACATGTGATAAAAACTTAGTGATGGATGTGAAATAAATAAATAAATAGGCCAGAAACACATTTAAATATGAATTATTATTATTAATTAGATGGAAGCAGCTCAGCATCCAGTTACACTTTCATCATAAAGTTAAAGCAAAAAAGATGTGATGATTGGATCCACATGAAGAATGGAGATAATGGAGATCTCCTGAACGCTTCCTGGATCTCCTGAACGCTTCCTGGATCTCCTGAACGTTTCCTGGATCTCCTGAACGCGTCCTGGATCTCCTGAACGTTTCCTGGATCCTCATGGCTTTAAATCCTCACAGTAAAAACAGCTTGAGGCATCAGGAAACCAGAACATGTGAGGGAGGCTGTTCCACCTGGAATGCAGAGACAGAGCCGGGGTCACCCTGAACGGGCAGTCTACGGGTGAGAGGCGGGGTCACCCTGAACGGGGCAGTCTACGGGTGAGAGGCGGGGTCACCCTGAACGGGCAGTCTACGGGTGAGAGGCGGGGTCACCCTGAACGGGGCAGTCTACGGGTGAGAGGCGGGGTCACCCTGAACGGGGCAGTCTACGGGTGAGAGGCGGGGTCACCCTGAATGGGCAGTCTACGGGTGAGAGGCGGGGTCACCCTGAACGGGCAGTCTACGGGTGAGAGGCGGGGTCACCCTGAACGGGCAGTCTACGAGTGAGAGGCGGGGTCACCCTGAACGGGGCAGTCTACGGGTGAGAGGCGGGGTCACCCTGAATGGGGCAGTCTACGGGTGAGAGGCGGGGTCACCCTGAACGGGCAGTCTACGGGTGAGAGGCGGGGTCACCCTGAACGGGGCAGTCTACGGGTGAGAGGCGGGGTCACCCTGAACGGGCAGTCTACGGGTGAGAGGCGGGGTCACCCTGAACGGGGCAGTCTACGAGTGAGAGGCGGGGTCACCCTGAACGGGGCAGTCTACGGGTGAGAGGCGGGGTCACCCTGAACGGGGCAGTCTACGGGTGAGAGGCGGGGTCACCCTGAATGGGCAGTCTACGGGTGAGAGGCGGGGTCACCCTGAACGGGGCAGTCTACGGGTGAGAGGCGGGGTCACCCTGAACGGGGCAGTCTACGAGTGAGAGGCGGGGTCACCCTGAACGGGGCAGTCTACGGGTGAGAGGCGGGGTCACCCTGAACGGGGCAGTCTACGAGTGAGAGGCGGGGTCACCCTGAACGGGGCAGTCTACGGGTGAGAGGCGGGGTCACCCTGAACGGGGCAGTCTACGGGTGAGAGGCGGGGTCACCCTGAACGGGGCAGTCTACGGGTGAGAGGCGGGGTCACCCTGAACGGGGCAGTCTACGGGTGAGAGGCGGGGTCACCCTGAACGGGGCAGTCTACGAGTGAGAGGCGGGGTCACCCTGAACGGGGCAGTCTACGGGTGAGAGGCGGGGTCACCCTGAATGGGGCAGTCTACGGGTGAGAGGCGGGGTCACCCTGAACGGGGCAGTCTACGGGTGAGAGGCGGGGTCACCCTGAACGGGGCAGTCTACGGGTGAGAGGCGGGGTCACCCTGAACGGGCAGTCTACGGGTGAGAGGCGGGGTCACCCTGAATGGGCAGTCTACGAGTGAGAGGCGGGGTCACCCTGAACGGGGCAGTCTACGGGTGAGAGGCGGGGTCACCCTGAATGGGGCAGTCTACGGGTGAGAGGCGGGGTCACCCTGAACGGGGCAGTCTACGGGTGAGAGGCGGGGTCACCCTGAACGGGGCAGTCTACGGGTGAGAGGCGGGGTCACCCTGAACGGGCAGTCTACGGGTGAGAGGCGGGGTCACCCTGAATGGGCAGTCTACGAGTGAGAGGCGGGGTCACCCTGAACGGGGCAGTCTACGGGTGAGAGGCGGGGTCACCCTGAATGGGGCAGTCTACGGGTGAGAGGCGGGGTCACCCTGAACGGGGCAGTCTACGGGTGAGAGGCGGGGTCACCCTGAACGGGGCAGTCTACGGGTGAGAGGCGGGGTCACCCTGAACGGGGCAGTCTACGGGTGAGAGGCGGGGTCACCCTGAATGGGCAGTCTACGGGTGAGAGGCGGGGTCACCCTGAACGGGCAGTCTACGGGTGAGAGGCGGGGTCACCCTGAATGGGCAGTCTACGAGTGAGAGGCGGGGTCACCCTGAACGGGGCAGTCTACGGGTGAGAGGCGGGGTCACCCTGAATGGGGCAGTCTACGGGTGAGAGGCGGGGTCACCCTGAACGGGGCAGTCTACGGGTGAGAGGCGGGGTCACCCTGAACGGGGCAGTCTACGAGTGAGAGGCGGGGTCACCCTGAACGGGGCAGTCTACGGGTGAGAGGCGGGGTCACCCTGAACGGGGCAGTCTACGGGTGAGAGGCGGGGTCACCCTGAACGGGCAGTCTACGGGTGAGAGGCGGGGTCACCCTGAACGGGGCAGTCTACGAGTGAGAGGCGGGGTCACCCTGAACGGGGCAGTCTACGGGTGAGAGGCGGGGTCACCCTGAATGGGCAGTCTACGGGTGAGAGGCGGGGTCACCCTGAACGGGCAGTCTACGGGTGAGAGGCGGGGTCACCCTGAATGGGCAGTCTACGAGTGAGAGGCGGGGTCACCCTGAACGGGGCAGTCTACGGGTGAGAGGCGGGGTCACCCTGAATGGGGCAGTCTACGGGTGAGAGGCGGGGTCACCCTGAACGGGGCAGTCTACGGGTGAGAGGCGGGGTCACCCTGAACGGGGCAGTCTACGAGTGAGAGGCGGGGTCACCCTGAACGGGGCAGTCTACGGGTGAGAGGCGGGGTCACCCTGAACGGGGCAGTCTACGGGTGAGAGGCGGGGTCACCCTGAACGGGCAGTCTACGGGTGAGAGGCGGGGTCACCCTGAACGGGGCAGTCTACGAGTGAGAGGCGGGGTCACCCTGAACGGGGCAGTCTACGGGTGAGAGGCGGGGTCACCCTGAACGGGGCAGTCTACGGGTGAGAGGCGGGGTCACCCTGAATGGGGCAGTCTACGGGTGAGAGGCGGGGTCACCCTGAACGGGCAGTCTACGGGTGAGAGGCGGGGTCACCCTGAACGGGGCAGTCTACGGGTGAGAGGCGGGGTCACCCTGAATGGCTGCTCCATCAACTTAATTTCTCTAAATAAATTCAATGTTTTGAAGATGCAGGAACTGTTTGTTCTGTCGACTGAAGCTTCCAATTATTGTTCATTGATTTATTTGTCCACTGGGTGTCGCTGCTGCAGCACCTTAGATGAACATGCAGAGGCGTTTTGCTTTGATGGTGATTAATGGAGCGATTTCTCTACTTTTTAGGGATTTTTTCTTCTCTCTCCTTTTTAAAGGAAAACCTGCAGAAAAAATCCAAACCAGGATTATTTTGTTTTTTATATGAAAGACTTTCAGGGAGAAGTTCTGAACTTCTGGCAGGAAGCTGCTGCAGCCCTGCTCTCCAACAAGATGTTTGTTTTCTGATTTGTTGTTGCTTTAGTTTTAAATCTCATCCTTGAATTTTCCTGACAGAAACTTAAACCTGCAGATGAACAACTGGTCCGTGAAGAAAAGTGAGAGAACATGAGCGATGCTCCTCAGCATGCAGGGATGGGGAACCCAGCGGGACGCAGTCCTCAGATCTCCTCCTGGGGAACTTCATGCTTCCTTCTGCTCCTCGCAGCTCAGCAGCTTCTTCAAGCTGAGTCTGTTTCTGCTTCCAGGTATCAGGATTTCTATCATGTAGGGAGGAGGAGGGGAGGCTGTAGGAGGCGGGTTCCTCAGGGAGGGGCCTCCTTCTGTAACCTGCAGAACAAACAGAGAACTGCTGCAGAATAACTGAGGTTTCATTCCAGGATTTATATCCTGACTAACTGCTGAGGAGGTCAGTTACTTTCATAAATCAAAGTGGTTCAGAGAAGAAACTTTTTCTCTGGTTTAGATTAAGTTTTTCGGTTCTGGGTTCAAAGTAAAGAAGCAGAGAAGAAGAGTCGACCTACCAGGATTATTCTGCCACCTGGACTCCTGCACAGTTGTCTTTGCTCTCTGAAGCGATGGCTAAATACTCGGCCCTGAGGAACAGAGAGCAAAGATCAGAGCAGAACCTGCTGCTACTTTCAGACGGACAGACCGCTGGTTCTGCAGGAGGGGAACAACAAGCAGGGGGACGCTGTCGGGACATCTGGTCCACCCAACGGGAGGACGAGGAGACGACAGGCTGCCTCTTACTCACTCGCTCTCCCTCAGAGCTTCTTCTCCGGCCGCTGAGATCTTCCTGTAGCAGTAAATCATCTCAACGACCAGCCAGAACTGCAGCCCGATGATGGAGACGTACATCATCACCTCAGACAGGATGGACGCCATTCCTCTGGTGACTGCGGCGACACAGAAGGAGCAGGAGCTGAGACAGGAATAGGGCGGCTCATAGCAGTGAGAAATGATTCGTGTCCTGAGTTAGAGTCCGTCCTCCGTCCTCTCTGCTCCGGTCCTCCAGCTCGATCAGTTAAAAACAAAAGACCGAGAACAGGACTCTGAGGGACGCCGCCGCTTCATGGAGGATCCGGTTTCTATGCTTTTCTGAATAAATCACTTTATCTTTAGCGATTTAAAGTAACAATGATTGGGAAAGAATAAACATCCGTGTCGTTTTTAATGCTAAAGGTTGATTTTAAAAGCCAAGCAAAGTTGGCTTTTCTTTTCTTTGACCATTCTTCCAGCAGCACATTTGAAAGGTCAGCTGCTAATGTTGGATGAGAAGGCCTGCCTCTCAGTCTGCGCTCTAATTCATCCAGGAGGTCAGGACTCCCAGCATCCACGTCTCAATGGACCTTTGACCTTTGGTTCGCAGGAAGCAGAAGGATCCAAGCTGGACGCGCTCCAGCGCTGTCAGTCGTTCTCAGTGATTATTCATCCAACACACTTTTCTCCTCTCGTTGTTAGACGCTTTATTATCTAAAAACTAACTTAGAATTTCTCACCGCAGAAAGACGTAACAGGCAGATCAAACACTCTATGGCTGCGCTGCCTGAATCCTAGAGCTCCCTAATAAACAATTTAATCCAGGTGCTGCATCACCTGTCTATAATGAAGGGGCGGAGCCAGGAAATAGCATCAGTTATGCATAGCAGCTAAAATATAACTAAACAAATTCATTTTTTCAGAATGAAGTCACCTCATACTAACCAAAATATTTCATGTTCATATAAGATCTGAGAAAAAGAATAAAGTTTTCAATCGTAAATCAAGCATCAAGCAACATGAACTGTTCGCTGGGATCAGTTCCTTTCACTGGAACCCCCCCCCCCTCCACCTCCACCAGCGGCGGCTGCTTTCCAGGCCTGCGTCTGATGCTTCGCTGATGCCGCTGCTCCACCATGGAGGCCTGTTCCATGGAGCTGATCTAAAGGCAGCCTGAAGGTCAGAGGTTATGCAGTGACTGACTGCAGAAAGCTGGAGACTGAAGGACGCTGCTGGAACTCAGTGAGCTGCTGAGAGCGAGCCGCTCTCTCACCAACGTCTGCATGATTTTAAAGCCATTATAAATGGATCGGATGTTTTTAGCTTCAGTGCTCGACAATAAACAACAGAAACATGAATATTTAATGAAGGTCATTTTGTGCCTGGAAGCAAACAGCTGCAGGAACGCTCCTGATTTTTATTTCTTTACCGTGAACTGATTTAAAAAGCTGTCCTGCAAACAAAGCAGCAGCTCTGCAAACACAGCGAGCGCTGACATGTTTGCAGAGCTGCTGCTCCTCCTGCGGCTCCTCCGTCAGCAGAGGAGCGTGTTTGACTAACAAATGAACACGTCTGTGCAGCTGCTGCCGGCTCCTGCAGGGAGGAGCCACTATCAGCTCCATTCAGGTAGAAACGGAAAAATCAGGCCAACATCGAGCAGAATGTGATGCTGACAGGAAATCCGACACAGAAACAAAATAAATAAGATTTTCCCTTCATTCCAGAGTCACCATGATCCTTCAAAAAGCCTCAAAATTACAAATTTTTATCTACAACTGCTGTAATGTTCTATATTTATTTACATAAGTGATTAAATGAGCATATTTATCTGGTTTGTTTAATGTTTATCCTCATTAATAGCCAGTTTTACTATTTTATTCTTTGGCACTAGGCTGCTCTGGAACCTGGAAACTAAATTAGTTTAATTTCATGTTAATTTGTTAAAATGACAAATAAAACTCATTGAAACATGATGTTGAAATGCTTATTGATTCATCAGCTTTAGACTGGATTGATTTTCTTTACTAAAGGGAAAACAGGATAAGGAGGAAAAAGCCGAGTCAAAGCGAGCTCCTCTTTGGGCCGAGCAGCAGGAGGAGCAGTGAGGAGAGAGGTAGAGGGAGAGGAGGAGCTAGAAGAGGAAAATCCTGAACCTGAACTGTTGAAAGGTTAAGATCTTGTGTCAGATAATAACAGAAATATTAATCTCCATCATCATCATAATAGTTTATCAGGATCTGAGTGTCGATTTTAAAACCTCAAGTTGAAATGAAGCAACTTCTTTCATTATATTGGAGTTTTTTTGGTAACATATTTCTAAGCTTCAACAGAAAGACGACATTAAAATCAGGTTCATGATGTTTGGATGGGAAAGAAATTCTCCTACTAGCATTTTCCAAAGTCATAAATATGTTTTTAATGTTAAAGGAAAAGTCGCTCAGATTCAGAATCCAAACTTCTGAAAGTTCTTTTAATCTGAAATGATTCCATCCTGTTCAATAAATGATCAGTGTTTTTAATTCAGAGTAATTTCCATGTGAATGTGCTTTACTGGAGGCATCCATATTTGTCGAAGAACACTACTGCCACCTACTGGTTAGTGACATTGTCACGGTGCGGTATCGGCTGTTGATCAAGTCCCAGTGCTGTATCTGGTGTTTGTCACAACGCGCTATTATCCAAGTCATCTTGAAAACATTCTTCTTCCAAATGTTGGCTACATATTACGGGTTTTTTCTCTGGCCAGAAGTTCGATGGCAAATCCTCCCTCTTCAAGTTGGCGATCCAACGACCAACCCGTCCGTGGAGGATCAGGAATCAGAAAGGTGGAATAACTCTTTTTTTTTCACTTTTACCCGATGTATTCCAGCATCCAGCTGCCATGCACGTGGGCATTGTCAGTTCCACTATAGCTCTGGTGAATTTCAATGGTGAAGTCCTCTGGAAATCTTCAATAATTGTTGTTGATTGCAGATGTGTCTAGTAGTTCCCATTGATTTAGCTTGGAAAGCGGGGAGAATGGCGCTAGGCTTACCGCACCGTGACGTCACTGCTGGAAGATGGCAGGAGGGAGGGGCTACTGTAGAAGCGAATTGTGTTGCCCTAGGTCATCGTGACCTTAAGCTCACAATAATTGATAACACAGAGCAAGCAGTCTGGAAGCCACGTACACATCTTGGCAATAACAAGTGTTCACAGGCTGGAAGCCAAGTACAAGTCTTGAAAAACAGAGTCTTTAAAAGCCCACTCGCACGCAATCCGGTCACAGGCCAAGAACTTCCAGGAAATTTTATCAGAGCGTCCAGTCGTGCACATACATCCACACAGTGCAATGTTGAAACTATACAGGTGCTGGTCATAAAATTAGAATATCATGAAAAAGTAGATTGATTTCAGTAATTCCATTTAAAAAGTGAAACTTGTATATTATATTCATACATTACATACAAACTCATATATTTCAGATGTTTATTTTGTTTAATTTTGATGATTACAAATGACAACAAATGAAAATCTCAAATTCATCATATCAGAAAATTAGAATATTGTGAAAAGGTTCAAAATTGATGGCCCCTGGTGCCACACTCTAATCAGCTAATTAACTCAAACCACCTGCAAAAGCCTTTAAATGGTCTTTCAGTCTAGTTCTATAGGCTACACAATCATGGGGAAGACTGCTGACTTGACAGTTGTCCAAAAGACGACCATCGACACCTTGCACAAGGAGGGCAAGACACAAAAGGTCATCGCTAAAGAGGCTGGCTGTTCACAGAGCTCAGTGTCCAAGCACATTAATAGAGAGGCGAAGGGAAGGAAAAGATGTGGTCGAAAAAAGTGTACAAGCAAGAGAGATAACCGCACCCTGGAGAGGATTGTGAAACAAAACCCCTTCAAAAATGTGGGGGAGATTCACAAAGAGTGGACTGCAGCTGGAGTGAGTGCTTCAAGAACCACCACACACAGACGTATGAAAGACATGGGTTTCTGCTGTCGCATTCCTTGTGTCAAGCCACTCTTGAACCACAGACAGCGTCAGAAGCGTCTTGCCTGGGCTAAAGAGAAACAGGACTGGACTGCTGGTGAGTGGTCCAAAGTCATGTTCTCTGATGAAAGTAAATTTTGCATTTCCTTTGGAAATCAAGGTCCCAGAGTCTGGAGGAAAAGAAGAGAGGCACTTCATCCACGTTGCTTGAAGTCCAGTGTAAAGTTTCCACAGTCAGTGATGGTTTGGGGTGCCATGTCATCTGCTGGTGTTGGTCCATTGTGTTTTCTGAGGTCCAGGGTCAACGCAGCCACATACCAGGAAGTTTTAGAGCACTTCATGCTTCCTGCAGCTGACCAACTTTTTGGAGATGCAGATTTCATTTTCCAACAGGACTTGGCACCAGCACACAGTGCCAAAGCTACCAGTACCTGGTTGAAGGACCATGGTATCCCTGTTCTTAATTGGCCAGCAAACTCTCCTGACCTTAACCCCATAGAAAATCTATGGGGTATTGTGAAGAAGAAGATGCAATACACCAGACCCAACAATTCAGAAGAGCTAAAAGCCACTATTAGAGCAACCTGGGCTATCATAACACCTGAGCAGTGCCACAGACTGATCGACTCCATGCCACGCCGCATTGCTGCAGTAATACAGGCCAAAGGAGGCCCAACTAAATACTGAGTGCTGTACATGCTCATACTTTTCATGTTCATACTTTTCAGTTGGCCAACATTTCTATAAATCCTTTGTTTTTATTGGTCTTCAGTAATATTCTAATTTTCTGATATGATGAATTTGAGATTTTCATTTGTTGTCATTTGTAATCATCAAAATTAAACAAAATAAACATCTGAAATATATGAGTTTGTATGTAATGTATGAATATAATATACAAGTTTCACTTTTTAAATGGAATTACTGAAATCAATCTACTTTTTCATGATATTCTAATTTTATGACCAGCACCTGTATAAACGCCCAGATTTGAATGAGAAGTTGAGAAAAGCTAGATGTGTTCTGTTGAAATGTTCAGCGCTGTGTTACGTGTACTGAGGACAGCATGTCAATTTGATCTATAAAATAAACGCTTCTTCTCCCGTCCTGGGGCAATCAGATGATCGACTGAAGGTGTCCTGATTTTTTGACATTCTACCATTGAAAACCACCACACTACTATATTTGGGCAAAGATGGCCGCTCCCAGACTCAGTGATCGCAACGAAAATTTGTTGTTTTATTGTTTTGACTGATTACACTATAAAATGATGTAGAAATGAGTAAAAATCTTCTTAAATTAAGTGTATTTACTCTTAATTTGAGTAACTAAATGAGATAGTTTGCCAAAGGAATGAGTATTTTTACTCTTAAAATAAGATAACTCGATAATATGAACTTGAAATAAGACAATGCAGTTGTGTTCTATTATTTTAAATCTAAATTGTCTCGCTCTGTTGGTAAAATGTCTCTTTTATCTCCTCAATTCAAGAACAGATGCACTTATTTTAAGAAAAAATGACTTATCCAGATTTCTATTTTTTCCAGTGTAAATCACTGCGGACGTTTTAGTTTTAGGTATAAATAATGACCCACTGGTTATTTCTAGCTGAACGGACTTCTCCTTTAAAGGGAGCTGAGAGGCAGGTCTTACGTTTGGGAACCACGTTGAGGTGGATCACCCTGGTGGTGTTGACTTCAAACTCGTAGTTGGAGTACAGGAGTTTGCGCTCGAAGGTGCAGCGGTAGGTCCCCGTGTCGTTGAAGGTGACATTGAGGATGTAGATGGAGCCGTCCTGCAGGTCCAGGGTGTGCTTGCTGCCGCTCCAGTCCAGACGCTCATAGAAGCGAGGGTCCAGGACCTCGCCCTGCTTGTTCTCATACATGTACAACTGAAACATGGAGCAGGACAGAGACAGAAGCTGTGAGATGTTTATGGAGGCAGAACCAAGGAAGTTCACAACAACCAGATCTCTGTGTTCATTTGTTTCACTTTCCTCCTCCTGCTGCTGCTGATGCTGCGTTTCCTGCTGAGTGCAGAAGCTGCAGCTCTTCCTGCTCCTGCAGTAAGTAAACGCTCTGAGTTTATGGCCGTTCCAATCCAGAGATCAGCAGAAGAACCCGTCATTAAAAATGCAACACTCAGCTTTCTGCTGACAAACCAAACAGTTTCCCACAAGATAATTACATCAGAAAGAGGAGCAGCCGTCTCCTGGGAGTGATGGGCACAGAGACGGCGCCGCTTCCTCCGGCGGCCTGATGTGGTTGGCTCAGAAGAAAAATAAGACTTACGCTCATCATCTGTTTGTCCTTTCATTAAAGATCTGCTTCTAAAGTTTCTATTTGAACCCCAGTGGGCCTCAGCAGATGGAGGTTTCTTCCTGTTCAAAGGGAGGTTTTCCTCTCCACTGTCGCTACAAGCAAACTTAAGTGTTGTTCACTTTCCAGTTCACCAGATCATCCAGTCAGATTGATTCAAAGTTTTCCATCTAAGGAAAACCAGCTGATTGCATCGACTCATTGACTCTTCAGCAATCCCTCACACTAAGCATGCTTGTAGCGACAGTGGAGAGGAAAAACTCCCTTTGAACAGGAAGAAACCTCCAGCATTATCGTCAAGTATCCCTCATTCTGGGGACTGACCGGTCCAAATGAGGGACCGGTCCAAATGAGGACATTCAAGGGTCCCCAAATGGTAAAGCTTTCTACTGTGGGTTGGGTTTAGGACCAGGTTAGGGTTACCATGAACGGACGTCCATGAAAGGCCATGCAAACCAAGGCTGTGTGTTTTGGTGGAATAGGAAGAAAAGCAGCAAAGATTTCCCTTTAACCATTAAGTTTGATTTTACTGTGTAAATAACTACTCTGTATAAAGTGTCTGTTAAACTCTGGCGTTCTTTCACCACTGCGTTTGTTAGTTTTTTTTTTAATCCTTATACATCTCCAAAGTTTCCCATCACGCTGGAGGTTTCTTCCTGTTAAAAGGGAGTTTTTTCTCTCCACTGTTGCTTGATAGAAAACTTTGAATCAATCTGCATGACGCTTCCAAACTGTGGTTCAGACACCAGCTGTAGAACTCCTGATGTTAGAACTTCCTAAACTCACTTTGAAAGAGTTTGGGAAGTTCTAACAGATTAAAAAATCTGTTAAAATGATTCAGTCCATGTTTGATATAAAGAATGAACATAAATATTGCTTGAACTTGCAGCAGCATCACCAATAACCAACCGTGGACCAACCTCGTCCTGTTGGATCTCAGTGCTGCATTTGATCCAGTTGATCATAATATTCTTTTAGAAAGACTTGAATATTTTGTTGGAATTAAAGGAACAGCACTAGACTGGTTTAAATCTTATCTATCTGATCGAATTCAGTTTGTTCATGTTAATGATAGATCTTCCTCATGCTCAAAGGTTACCTGTGGAGTACCACAGGGATCAGTGCTAGGACCAATTCTCTTTACTTTATACATGCTCCCAATCGGTAGAGTTATTAGACAGCATGGGATTAATTTCCACTGTTATGCTGATGATACCCAGCTATATCTGTCTATAATCCAGATGAAGCTAACCCATTACATAGATTACAGGCATGTCTTGAAGACATAAAAACCTGGATGACTCTTAACTTTCTGCTTCTGAATGCAGACAAAACAGAAGTTATAGTCTTTGGACCAGAGTCTCTGAAAAAGAAACTGATTAGCCAGTCACTTCATTTGGATGGGATTAAACTGATTTCAGATAATAAAGTAAAAAATCTTGGTGTTATTTTTGATCAGGACCTGTCATTTAAATCCCAGATCAAAGAGGTTTCTAGAATATCCTTCTTTCATCTGAGGAATATTGCAAAAATGAGCAATCTCCTGTCCAGGGGTGATGCTGAGAAACTAGTCCATGCATTTGTTACTTCAAGGCTGGACTATTGTAATTCTTTACTATCAGGAAGTCCACAAACTGTAGTTAAAAGCCTTCAGCACCAATCTGACTGGATAATCTGATTGAAAGTCTCTGGAAAGAGACTCGAGATGAGGTGCGGATAATTGGCTGATCTTAGCTCCACTTACAGGATTGAAATCTTTGTCCTCTGAACCCTTGAAGAACCAGTTAACGACGGCGATGGCGGGAACTTCGCCTCTCATCTTGCAGGAAATGCATCCCAGCCTGAAGCCCTCGTTAGCCACGGCCTCCGTGTCAGAGTCCACCTCCACGCAGGCTGCATGGCACAGAGTCGCTGCAGAGCAACAAAGGAAAGACGAGTGAGACGAGGCGCTGCTGTTTGCTCGGTCAGCGGGTGGGAGAGGGGGGCCGTGGGTGACCCCCTCCCTCCTTTCCCGTGACTCCAGGAGGAGCTTTTGTTTTTTTTTCTCAGTACTTGCAGGCAAACAGTCTAATTAGTACTTCAGAAAAAAAACAGAAGCTCCTGCAATGTTTCTTTTTTGGCGTGCTTGCTTTCAATCCTCCATGCATGCGTCATTTTTCTTTTTGACTTTTTAATTTTCGCATTGTTTTTATTTCCACTCATTGCTTCACTCTTAGAAAAAATTTGGAGTAGAGTTCAGCTGTGATTGTTCTCTTTAAAAGGTGAAACTGAGGGGAAATAAAGAGGTTGCAGTGAGCAGTTAGCCTGTTTCCTGTTGCATTCTGTTGGTTGCCAGCTGGAGCTAACATCATATATAGAGACGGGCGTCTATATATGCTAACGTTATCATGACACATCGGCCAGAAGTAACACACCTGTAGCTCCAAAAGTTTGTCTCAAACTGCACCTTGCAGTTTCCCCTGAGGCCTCAGCATCGCTCTCAACCAAAGAGGTCTACGCTCTACTTTCACCTCGAGCGGGGGGGCTTTCATTTTGAATAGCAAGATGAAGGGACGGGGGGGTGAAGGGAAAAGACAGGAAACATTCAACTCCAAATCAGATCAACAGCCACAAAACCATGAAAGTCTGTGGCGATGCGTCGGCCTGCTGAGGAAGGATGGATGTTAGAAAGACAAGGTGTGTGAGGATGAGAGAAGGAAGAGCTGCAGAGGAAAAGGAGGAAAAGAGAATATTAGGAGAACAACTTTAAGACTTCATTAAACATAAAAACACTTTGATTCTGTTTTCCAGTGCTGAGCTGTTGATGTCCAGTCTGCAGTAAATGGCAGGAATGACCGTCACAGCCATGCAGACTGGACCTCTACCACTGAGAATAAGCCTGATGTCATTTAAACAGGCGATAGTAAAAAAAACAAACATCTAAAATCAACCATTATTTTCTCTCCTTTAATCTTTGACAGTCTGCTTGGTTCAGTCCAGTCTAACCCTAACAGAAAAAGGTTTGTCTTTAATTATTGATAACCAGGACAGCTGAAGGACCAGGTTCATACCTGAAGTCCTGCTTTCTGTCTTTTAGCAACGCTCCTCTCCTTCATCTTAGAGAAGATAATAGCAGAGACTGTCTGCGTCCATGACGCATAAACACTGGGACATCCAGGAAACCTGAAAATACCCTATAAAGACCATCCACGACCTCACCAAGACCCTATAAAGACCATCCACGACCTCACCAAGACCCTATAAAGACCATCCACGACCTCACCAAGACCCTATAAAGACCATCCACGACCTCACCAAGACCCTATAAAGACCATCCACGACCTCACCAAGACCCTATAAAGACCATCCACGACCTCACCAAGACCCTATAAAGACCATCCACGACCTCACCAAGACCCTATAAAGACCATCCACGACCTATAAAGATCACCCAAGGCTTCAACAAGACCTTATAAGGACCATCCAAGACCACATCAAGACCCTAAAACGCCATCCAAGACCTCGCAAGACCTATAAAGACCATCAAAGACCCTCACAAAGACCCAATAAATATCATCCACAACCACATCAAGTTCCTATAAAGACTGAATAAAGACCATCCAAGACCTACAAGGATCACCCAATGCTTCACCAAGACCCTGTAGGAACAATCCAAGACCACACCAAGACCCTAAAACGCCATCCAAGACCCCGCAAGACTTATAAAGACCATCAAAGACCCTCACAAAGACCCACAACCTCATCAAGTTCCTATAAAGACTGAATAAAGACCATCCAAGACCTATAAAGATCACCCAATGCTTCACAAAGACCCTAAAACACCATCTAAGACGTAACAAAACCCTATAGAGACCACCCAAGAGCTTTCCAAGACCTATAAAGACCATACATGACCTAGCCAAGACTCAATCAATACTCATAAAGACCAATAAAGGTCACCCAATGCTTCACCGAGACCCTGTAGGAACCATCCAAGACCACCCCAAGACCCTAAAACACCATCCTAGACCTAACAAGACCCTGTACAGACCACCCAAGACCTCTCCAAGACCTATGAAGACTATAAAAGACCTCACCAAGACTCAATAAATACATCTAAGACCACACCATGACCATAAATCACCATCTAAGACCTCGCCTATGAAGACCATCCAAGATCTCACCAAGTCCAAATAAATACTATCCAAGACCTATAAAGATCCCACAAGGCTTCACAAAGACCCTATAAAGACCATCCAAGACCACAACAAGACCCTAAAAAGACCATCTAAGACCTCACCAAGACCCAATAAAGACCTCCCAAGACCTTACCCATACCCCATAAAGACCTTCTTAGACCTCACTAAGACTTTTAGAGACCATCTAAGACCTTATAAAGACCACCCAAGAACTCACTACGACCAAATAAAGACACTCTAAGACCTCGCCAGACCCTACAAAGAACAACCAAGACCTCACAAGGACCAAATAAAGAGCTCCCAAGACCTCCCTAATATGCTATTCATAACTTGTTGAGAACTCACCAAGATCCTGTAAAGACAATAGATAGAAAACAATGCAGCATGACAGTCTATAGGGACCATCTAAGACTCAATAAAGACCAATCAAAATATAAATATACAAATACCTCAACAAGACCATATAAAAACCTCCAAGGAGCACCAAAGATGTATAAAGACCATCCAAGACCTGACCACAACCCTATACCGACTGTTCAAGACCTCATCAGGTCCCGGTTGTTAGCTCGACTTCTTAAACAAAATTCCTCCCTGATTCTCCAGACTGTGAAAGACTGCAGCGAAATATTGACAGTGCCGGAGCAGCAAAAACAATGTTCAGCATTGAAAGTCAAACTAACCACCGAGTTCAAGACCTTTTTCAGGTCTGTCTGTGTCCAGTAGAGCTCAGCTGCATCAAACAGATGTTTTAACCAGTGGCAGCTGATCTGGGGTCAGGTTCCCTGTTTTCTCAGCTGACTGACAGATGAGCAGAGAACCAAACAGACTTTAGGCGAAAGGCGAATCTATAAAAGCTTCCTTTTTTCATCCCTCCTCAGAGAACAGGCGCACTGATTCACAGGAAGCCGAGAAGTGATGCAGCTTTTTCACGCATTTTTCAGCTCCATCTCCGAACCCTCGTCTGTTACAAACGGAAGTCGATAGTCCGTGTTAATTGGAGGCTGCTGCAAACTGCTCCAGATGTCGGCGTTAATCCTGAGCTGCCGGGAGCCGACGGAGGACATTCATCACTTCATGCATCTGTGAAGCCTCACTGCAGAGCAACAGATTCATGACTCAGACCTGTGAGACACTCTGTGACACCAGCAGACAGAGAGGACGAAGTGTTTGGTTTGGAGTCAAACCTGGAATACAAGCAGAGGAGAAGCTCTGGCCCTTCATAAGGCTCAACACAAAACCAGGAGAGCTGCATCATATTAAAGAGGGAAAGACCTCCATGTTTGGAGGTCAGAGAAGGAGGCAGACGCTCGCGGCCTGGATGTCCCGCAGAAGAAGAAAGGAGGTTTAGAAAGAAAAACAACAAAGTTACAGTTAGATCAAAGATTTGATTTATTTTTTATTTAATGAGGTAATTAAAGCTTATTTTCTAAACTACATGATGAAAACAGGAAATGACTTTTATCAGATGGAGCTTCTGAAGGTCGGCAGAGTCCGATGATGGAGTATTTTGAGGCCGCCTTGGTGGTTTGAATGAAACTCAGACGTTTGATGATCTAAATGAAACGGAGCGGCTCAGTGTGAGCGGCCATTCCTGTTCAAAGGGAGTTTTTCCTCTCCACCGTCGCTACAAGCATGCTTAGTGTGGGGGATTGCTGAAGAGTCAATGAGTCGATGCAATCAGCTGGTTTTCCTTAGATAGAAAACTTTGAATCAATCTGACTGGATGATCTGGTTGATCTGGATCTATAAACCTGAGATGACATGATGTGAATTGGAGCTATAGAAATAAACTGAATAGAATGTAATCAAATCTCCAGGTTGGAAGGACTGTTTCCAGAAATTTCCTGTGGATCCGGGTCACAGAGGTCCGGTTGGTTCTGGATGGTAAAGGTCGCTGTAAACACGATGATCCAGTGAGCTGCACAGGTTCTGATGAGGATCCTGAAATGGATGCTGCACTTCAAAAACAATCTAGAAATAAGTGAACATTTCTTCCATTAAGTGTATTTAGCCTTAAATTAAGCAGGTAAATAAGATTATTTGCCAAAGCAATTAGTTGTTTTACTCTTAAAATATGATCATTAGATAATGTACACCTGAAATAAGACAATGCAGTCGTTTTTTTCTTATTTTAATTTAAATTATTTTGTTCCATTGGCAAAATGTCTCACTTACCTTCTCAATTAAAGAAAAATGTACTTATTTTAAGAAAAAATGACTTATTTAGATTTCATTTTTTACAGTGTGCAGGATGGGAATCTGTTTTCCTCTCTGGAGGATTGAGTGACGTTCCGCCTCAGTCCCAGCTTCTCCTTCCTGTCCATCGGGACAGAGCGCAGAGACAACTTTACCTCTGAGCTTCTCCAACGTTCAGAGCGGCTGTTGCTGATTGGCTGCAGCAGGAAGAAACGCTGAGCAGGCAGACTGAGGAGATGCAAACATGCAAACCGACAGGAGAGAAGCGTGACCGTCGCTCTGCAGGATCAGCACATCCAGAGCCAGTGATGCGTCCAACAGCAGCTGGACGCAGCGGTTAATCCACAGAGCAATCTGCAAACTGAGGCTTGGGATTATGCAAGGAAAGTTCTAGAAGCTGCAGATTAGGATTTTATATTCTGGGCTGTGTCGTGGCAGTCTGTAATCCCTCTCATCAACAGCTGTTCCCCTCTGAGGCCTCAAATGTCCCTCAGCTGCAGAAAAGACCATCGTCTGCAGCTCCAGGAGACATGAGGACTCAGCGTGTCTCTGAGGAGACAGCAGCTGTTTCCATGGCTCTGTTGCTGCACACATGAAGACATGCTGGGGACGAGCTGTCCCGGGGAAATGCCAAGGACTTCTGACATTTCCCCCGCTCACCTTTCTTCTGTCGCCATGACGCCGTCCCAACGTCCCAGGCTGAAAAATGTCTGTCTACTTCTCATCTCATTCAAAGATGGATTGTCCCAGTGAGACAGAAACAGGAAGTGCCCAAGTCCTCGTATGCAGACAGAGGACAGTTTCCAGAAAACTCTGATGTTCTCCAAACTTAAAAAAGATGCAATGATTCAGACCAAACCTTCAGTTTAGCTCCGTTTAAATCAGCTTCCGCCCACTGGCACCTCAGACAGTAACATCCAGCTCGCTGAGGGACATGGACCTTCTGTCCATCAAACAGATCACATGATGCCTCCTCAGAAAGCTGCTGCCACTCAGCAGGAGAACAATGTTAACTCTTTGGTTCCCTCATAGACAGAAGCTCCAACTGTCCCCATCCTCCTGCAGGTGTCGTCATGCTGGAGCAGACTGGACGGCAGCAGGACTGATCTGATTCTCTGTGGTCATCTGCAGATACGGCGTGATGTTTCTCCAGGAAAATAAACTTTCTTCTTTCTGTTTGGGGAAGAGAGATGCCTGAGTTCTGGTCCTGAATGTTGGAGCAGGAGGAGGAGCTTCTTCTGCAGGAACCAGGTGATCCTGGATCAGAACTGGGTTTAATCTCCCAGATGTCCTCTCCAGACAGAATCCAGAGTATCCGTAAAGTCACCTGGAGGCCTGCAGGCGGGTATGCGGAGAAAACGTCCAAATAAAAATCAGCTTTTTCTCATAGTAGCTTCATCTGGTCTGTTCCTGTTTGGCTGTGACTCCATCCTGGAGAGAAATATCAGCTGTGCTGCTGCCATCAACACCTTTGTTTCTAGATGTTGGAGCTTGGCCTGTTTTCCAGTGTAGTCCTGTTTCTCTGACTGTGACTAACTGGATGTGCTCTCTTCATCCTCTGACATGGGAGCTGGCTCGGAGCTCGTCTGCCTGGCTGCGTGTTTCCTGGACGGGGCCGCCTGTGGAGCTGGTTGACAGTTGCCTTTTGTATCTATGCTTCTTTTTCTATGTCTGCTTCTGTCTCCTTGAACCCCAGTGGGCCTCAGCAGATGGCCGCTCACACTGAGCCTGGTTCTGCTGGAGGTTTCTTCCTGTTCAAAGGGAGTTTTTCCTCTCCACTGTCGCTACAAGCATGCTTAGTGTGAGGGATTGCTGAAGAGTCAATGAGTCGATGCAATCAGCTGGTTTTCCTTAGATGGAAAACTTTGAATCAATCTGACTGGATGATCTGGTGAACTGGAAAGTGACCTGAGATGACATGATGTGAATTGGAGCTATAGAAATAAACTGAATAGAATTGAATACAAGTTTAGTTCTGACCTAAGATATTCTGGGTGATTCAGATTTCCATCATGTTAGATGCTAGTTGTGAGATCACCAGCGCATCACTTTCTGCAGATCTTTTCTTCCAAAAACGGAGCGAAAGTCCGCTTAGCTTCCAATTTCAGCCTGTTTTTTGGTTGCCATGGCAATGACTGAGGATTTACAGAGGTGCCTCCAGCTCTTTGATTTCACCACATGGTCACCGCAGCATACAGCGAGAAATAAACTTGTGTGAGAGTTAAATGGTTCCTCTAATTGGGTCATTTTCACGCTCCAGATTTTTGCTGTGACCCTGAAGAGCAGAACCGGAGCGAAGCTCCTTCCCAGTTCGGACCCAGCTGCCCGACCGGGCTGGACGCTAAAATCAACGAAGGAAGGAAGGAAGGAAGGAAGGATGCTTCCTGCTGAAGACCACTTTGTCCTGCTGATGCTGCAGAACGTTTCCCAGAGAAAACAGAGAACGCTTCATGATGGAGAAGGACCCATCAGCTTCATTAGCTCCCCTTCGTTCCACAGTGGGTTTAGAAAGCAGGTCAGACGACGATGCAGGAAGCAGAAAAGATCTCTGATCATAAACTGATGAGTGGAACCAGAGGAAGATTGTTCAGATCAGAAGCTGAGGTGGAACCCATGTTCTCAGATTATGGTTCTTCATTAAGGAGAAGCAGGGAAGCATTTGTTCCTTCTCTGCATCACAAAGCAGAACCAAGGATTAGATTCTGAGAGATCCGTGTTCCACAGCCTCTCTGATGCTGGGGGGTCGTATCATGGTATGGGCTGGAACCAACCCCCCCCCCCCCCCCCCCCCCCCCACTCTCATCTTCTCCAGGGACACAGAAAGCCACATCCTGAGGCAGAGGAGGATGCAGCTGCTGGACTGACCAGAGTTTGGAAGATAGATCCAGCAGCGTCCGGATCTGCAGAACCGGATCGTTTTTTGCTGCCTGAGGTCCAGAAGGGTCCGATCGGACCGAGGCATCTGGAGGAATCAGCTTCACTGCGGTCTTCTGGCGTGACTCCATCTGATGCGACTATCAGTCCTCTCTGCAGACATTAGCAGCCTGAAGGCTCCGTAATGCGGTTAGCTTCCATTAGCTGCAGCTGGAAGTGCCCGCCTCCCAGTAATTATGGCACTAACATCTCCGAGCCTCCGCTCCATGCATTCTCCCTCTCTTCTAATTAATAACAACATTAAAGTGGTTTTGATCTTGAATCGGTTCTGATCTGTCCTGATAAATCTGCAGGACGTTCCTGGTGTTTATCAGCAGCAGAAGAAGAAGAAACCTCCAAACCTCTTTCTGTTCCTCGGTTTCACCTTCTGCCTTGTTGGGTCCGGCTGTAGCAGCCGGCATTAGCTGATGGGAGCAGATTAGCTCCATCAATACCTTTAAACTCTTCATTCCTTTTTCTGTTTGCAGTTTAATAAAAGTATAAATAAGACATTCCCTGAGGAAGAAGCTCCTCTTCAGGGTTTTATATTCAGCTAAATATAAACATTTTGGAAGGTTAAACTGAAATCTGAACTAAAGTGAAAATTTCAACTAATTTCAACTTTAATCATCATTTAAATTCTCCATTTGATTCGTCATCCTCCTCTTCATCCTCCCTGTCAGTCAGCTGGATGCTGCTGTTGTGGAGGAATCAGGAATTGTTTCCTGACCCGTTAGGAGCCCAAAACCAGTTATCTTCAGTTTTTCTGATCATTTTCATTCATTAAAAACATCAAAATTCAGAATTAAAATCAGGATAAAAGCTGAATAGGATAATAAATCCCTTCCTTCCTTTGTTTTCAGGTCGGATCGGGTCCGTTTGTCAAACACCAAACGTCTGCAGCCTTAATAGAGCGAAATCCTCCTCAGACCAATCAGAGAATCAGATGGATTCAGGAGCAGCATCTCATCAGTCATTCTTTATAGTTAATGTTTTTAATTTAAGCTCTGTAGATGTTTCTGACTCTACCAGCAGCTTCTAGAGGATCCCAGCATGTCTGATGATCAGAGCAGCAATGTTCCTCTCTGCCTGCACTGCAAAAACATCTAGAAATAAGTAAATATTTCCTAAATTAAATGTATTTACCCTTGATTTGAGTAGATAAATGAGTTTTCCAATAGAATGAGTATTTTTACTCTTAAAATAAGATAATTAGATAATATGTGCTTGAAATAAGACAATTATGTTTTCTTATTTTAAGTGTAAATTGTCTTGTCTCATTGGCAAAATGTCTCTTTTATCTCCTCAATCCGAGACCAAATGCACGTATTTTAAGAAAAAATGACTCATAGATTTCAATATTTGATGCTTCATCTTCTAACATGTTTATCAGATGCTTCTTCTCTTCTCCACTGATTTAACCTTCAGTTCTCATTCAGTTTGCAGGCAGCTGAACCTTCTAGAAAGGAAGATGTTTCTGCAGAAGTAAACGATGGTAACAAGTGTTGTTAGATGACCCTGAATGTTTGTTAGAAAACTTCCTGGAAGAAAAACTTCTCCTCCTTTCTGTTACCAGTGAAACAGCAGAATAACACCGTTAGGTTTCTGAAACAACATGAAGTTCAGAGAAGCAGAGAGCTCCTCAGCTGGAGGCTCATGAACACATGCAGCCCACTCACCTTGGAGAGCAAGGAGGGTCACAGGCAGCAGGAGCATCCTGGCTCACTTTGGAGGAGTCACACCAACGCTCTCCGCTCCGACTGAACACCTCCAGGCTGAGGGAGGAAGAGGAGGATGAAGCTGCTGGGACTCTGGGTGTGGTCCGCCCTCCTCTTCCTCTGCTCCTGATGCAGAGGGGGAGGAGGCGTGAAGACCCTTCTGAAGCACCTGGGAGCAGAGTGGAAGCTCCTGCTGAGGAGGACCTGGAGGAGGACCTGGAAGACGACCTGGAAGATAACCTGGAGCCCAAATGTTGCAGAAATCAAACGTGACCTGAGCAGAAAGCAGCGCAGGAGATGGAGGGAAGCAGTGAGGCTGTTGTTGCTCCAGGATCAGCCTGCTGCTCATCCAGCCCTGGATGACGCTGATGACGCAATGTGCGCCTCAACCAGCCGCTGTTCGCTCGCCTTCATCTGCGGATCTCCGCAGCAGCAGCGGTCCGCTTCCTGCGCGTCTTCAGACGGATTAACCCCCCGATAGAGACCCGGATAACCTGTGAACAATGTTCTCCCGGGTAGAAGCTGACTGTGGATCAGAGCTGGTTGGCTTCCATCAGGAGGTACCGGGAGCTCCTCCTCCTGCAGCGGTGGGAGGAGAAACCTGAGCTGGAGAGGAAAGGAGAGCGATGAGCTGAAAGTCAGAGAAAGGGGGGGGGGGGGGGGGGGGGGGGATGCATTGCAACCGCGACACGGAGGAGGAGAGGAGGTAGAGGCGTTGCTATGGTAACAGATTTTCTAACGTTTCCTCTAGAAGCTCCAGGATGTTGGAGAGGAACCAAACAAGGCAGCAGGAAAAGTTCGCTTATTGATTCAAATAAAGGCAGAACCGGACCGAGGAATAAGCGAACCGAGCTGCAGCTTAGGGCTGAAGCCAGCAGGAGGCGCTGTGGAGCCACAGCAGGCAGCCTGATAAGTTTACACGGAACTTCTGTTAAATCCAGAATAGAATTTAAAATCCTCCTTCTCACATATAAAGCCTTAAATGGCCAAGCTCCATCTGATATCAGAGATCTGATTGTTCCTTATGTTCCTAACAGAGCACTTCGCTCTCAATCTGCAGGTTTACTAGTGGTTCCTAGAATTTCTAAAAGTAGAATGGGAGGCAGATCTTTTAGTTCTCAGGCTCCTCTCCTGTGGAACCAACTACCAGTTTTAGTCCGTGAGGCAGACACCCTGTCTACTTTTAAGGCTAGGCTTAAAACTTTCCTTTTTGATAAAGCTTCTAGTTAGAGTGGCTCAGGTTATCCTGAGCTATCTCTATAGTTCTGCTGCTATAGGCTTAGACTGCTGGAGGACATAGGGACCCCTTTTTCATCATTCTGCTTCATTCTATCTCTATTCTCCCACTCTGCAGAATCTGTTAGTTCAATCTCTAACGTTCTGCTCTCTCTGCTTTTTCTCATAGTAGCTTCATCTGGTCTGTTCCTGTTTGGCTGTGACTCCATCCTAGAGAGAAACATCAGCTGTGCTGCTGCCATCAACACCTTTGTTTCTAGATGTTGGAGATCGGCCTGTTTTCCAGTGTAGTCCTGTTTCTCTGACTGTGACTAACTGGATGTGCTCTCTTCATCCTCTGACATGGGAGCTGGCTCGGAGCTCGTCTGCCTGGCTGTGTGTTTCCTGGACGGGGCCGCCTGTGGAGCTGGTTGACAGTTGCCATTTGTATCTATGCTTCTTTTTCTATGTCTGCTTCTGTCTCCTTGAACCCCAGTGGGCCTCAGCAGATGGCCGCTCACACTGAGCCTGGTTCTGCTGGAGGTTTCTTCCTGTTCAAAGGGAGTTTTTCCTCTCCACTGTCGCTACAAGCATGCTTAGTGTGAGGGATTGCTGAAGAGTCAATGAGTCGATGCAATCAGCTGGTTTTCCTTAGATAGAAAACTTTGAATCAATCTGACTGGATGATCTGGTGAACTGGAAAGTGACCTGAGATGACATGATGTGAATTGGAGCTATAGAAATAAACTGAATAGAATTGAATTGAATTTACCGATACTGTTCTATACAAAACGAACTTTCGATGCATCCAGCTTATAACAGTGAAATGAACATTGACATTTATAGAGTGCTGCTGTGATAAAGAACGTAAACAGTGTATGAGAAAAGGAAAACCAGTTATAATGGGCTGAGGGTGTGAGGTGTAAACAGCCCCTGTTGGTCCGTCTGTGTCGTCCTTCTGAGTAGAGCGGCTCTTTCTTCAAGCCAAGCAGGAAGTTCGAGGTTTTTGAGGCTCCACCCTGTCAGTAGATTGAAGTGTGGCGTTGTTGTTGTTGTTTTCAGGTGCAGCCGCTCTGATCAAGCTGCTGCAGCCTCCTGTGATAGCCGCTCCTCTGGGCCATGATGTCCTCCTTCCCTGTGAACTCCAAGCTTCCCAGGATGTGAAGATAACAAACACGCCTGTGCTTTACTGGACGGCTGCAGGAGATCGGACCTTAGAAGTTGACCGTAACTCTTCTAACTACTCCCATGTGTTGAAGAAGGTGCAGTGGTCTGACAGCGGCTCGTATCAGTGCAAAATGTCCATCAAAACCAGTGAAGGAAGTTTCCGGCTGAAGGGAACCAACACCACGCTGGTCATCTACGGTAGATTCCCTTTTCTTTGCTGTCAAACCGATCAAATGACCTCATTTGGTTCTATCAACAGGGACTTAATGTAGAACCAAAGTAAACAGAAGAGAAATGCGTTTTTTAACATTAGTTTGTGCAGCGGTAGACGAAGTACTGAACAGTAGTACTTGAGTAAAAGTACTGATACTCATAGTCAATTTTTACTCAACTAGAAAAGTCACTCAGTCAAACATCTACAAGTTAAACTATTAAAGTTCTCACTTTTGAAAAGTATTAAAAAAATATAAATTCAGTTTTCTAATAGCAGAACATTTCTGTCTAATTTTCATTAAACCCCAGTGGGCCTCAGCAGATGGCCGCTCACACTGAGCCTGGTTCTGCTGGAGGTTTCTTCCTGTTAAAAGGGAGTTTTTCCTCTCCACTGTCGCTACAAGCATGCTTAGTGTGGGGGATTGTATTTGAGTCAATGAGTCAATGCAATCAACTGGTTTTCCTTAGATAGAAAACTTTGTATCAATTTGATCTGGTTGAACTGTAAAGTGCCTTGAGATGACATGTGTTGTGAATTTGGCGCTATATAAATAAACTGAATTGAAAATTGAATTAATGTTTAGCGAGAAACAGTGTCTCAGATCATAAAGTCAAACCTTTATGTTTCTGATTTAACAAAATAAAAGTTGATTAAAAGAAAGGAAGAAACAAAACTTTAAATGAATACATGTTTGAGGAGAGTTTGATTGTTTAGATTTGTTTTAGTTATCCAGCTCCTCTGCCTGTGGAGCTGGTTGACAGTTGCCTTTTGTATCTATGCTTCTTTTTCTATGTCTGCTTCTGTCTCCTTGAATCCCAGTGGGCCTCAGCAGATGGCCGCTCACACTGAGCCTGGTTCTGCTGGAGGTTTCTTCCTGTTCAAAGGGAGTTTTTCCTCTCCACTGTCGCTACAAGCATGCTTAGTGTGAGGGATTGCTGAAGAGTCAATGAGTCGATGCAATCAGCTGGTTTTCCTTAGATAGAAAACTTTGAATCAATCTGACTGGATGATCTGGTGAACTGGAAAGTGACCTGAGATGACATGATGTGAATTGGAGCTATAGAAATAAACTGATTAGAATTGAATTTAACTTCTCATGTCCTAAAAAAACCTGCAAAACCTGACCTTTACCAGGATCCGTCTGGTAAAGGTCAGGTTTACCTTAACAGACCATATAGGAACAATCACCTCATAGAGCCTGAAAAACGCGATGGTCTGTTCCCAGTTCTTTCTCTGAATCACGCTGATGTTCTCACCTTCATATGTTTGGGTTCTGGACCAGCCATTCAACACGTTAGGGGAACTTTGGTTTTTGTAGTTCTTTTTCTGAAGGCTGTAGTCCTAATTTAGCTCGCCTCAGTCCCGTGATGATGTCCATTGACCTTCAGCCGTTGACCTTCAACAGTTGACCTTCAGCCTCATCGAAGGCCGGGAAGCATTTGGCTGCCATCTTCCAACTCCTCTCTTTCCAGCTCAAACAACTGGATGAACGACGGATCTTTCCCAGTTTCACATTTGGAAAGGCTGGAAAAAAAAAATATCTTAAAGAGTTTGGATCAGCAGCTGAAAAAATCTCCAACATGTTTTTATTAGAAGAAGAATCTTTTATTTCAGGTCTTCTTGTTTCCTGATGTTCAACATAATTAAAGATTAATTTTATCTTTTAGAGGCAAAAATCCATTTCAGTTTGAGATAAAGACAGAGAAGATCACTGCTGCCACCATGAGGCCAAACAGCAGAATAGGCGCTGCAGTGAGTCAGTCATCAGCAGACCTCAGAGGTTCTTCAGAGAACATCAGAGAACATCCAGCATCATGAAGCTTGGGGAACCCAGCAGACGGGTCAGGGAGGAGATTCTGGTTCCGTTTAAAACAGGAAGTAGCTTCTAGAACAATCACCCAGGGCTCTGCTCAACCATCTGAACCTGGAGAAGGGATGCTAGTCCAAACAGGTGGCCCACAAAGCCTCTGGAGGAGCTGTAGGGTTAGCAGCTCAGGTTAGGACAACTACTCCTCCTGAGATTAAAGCTAAATTTAATTTGACAAACCGGATCTTCTCGCCGTTCTTTCTCCTGTTTGGTGCGATTAGCGGATCCGGACCTGGCTGGACGGAGCGGAGCCTGAACATTTAGAGGATGTTTGGCTCAACCTGCTGCTGTGAAGCAGGATTCTCCACCATGAACAGAATCAACAATAAATCTGGATCCAGGCTCAAAATGAGCTCCTTGATATGTGCTTGAGAATGGCTTAGTCTCCGGTTAAACCCAGGTTTAAAGCCTTGCAGGGCAGCCTAAAGCCCACTGCCAACATTAAGACAGAAAAAAGAAAGAAAAGAACAAACCATCAGTTCAGGGGTTTGAGAAAATATGGGAATCAGGAAATTATCTATAAACCAAACTGAACGATTGTTGTTCTCTACTTCAAAAACACTTTAGATTTTAAAATAGGAAAACGTTCTATTTTTAGATATTTTGTGTAACATGGATGCATAAATACCTAATTTTATTTCAATGGTAAATTCATGTTTAAAGTAACAGATTATAAATATAAATGTCTCCGGACCTTTACTGGTTGATGATTTTCTTTATTCGGACTGATTTTTAATTGGTTACCCCTGGAATAGAGGCTAACTAGAGGTTACACCAAGGGGAAGGGAGAGGTGGCGGAAAGTCGCTGGTGACTGTAAAAGAGGTAATGGAGGGCATTGAAAAGTCCTTCTAGTTCTAAATTGAAACTGGCTTTTTAAAAGGCACCTAAACAGTCCTTCTATCATCCCTTCACGGCTCAGTACAGAGGACCCATTATTCAAGGGAGGACAGACAGTGGCATTACTCAATAGCATTTATTAAAATAGTGGAACTCTAGTAGCAGCGACAGGAACCTCTAGAGTAGAGAAACACAGGTTAGTGACCCACGATAATCTGATGGAGGATGAATATGGGTCACTAACCTGGTTCAACAGTTCAGTCTGTGCCCAGAGAACACGGTAGGATCCAATATGCTGCAGCCCGGGGAAAACAAGCAGGGGTCTGAGGTCAGGTCAGGCTAACAGATCAGACGGTAACAGGCAGGGTCAGTGGTGGAGGCAGACCAGGAAATCAAAAACACTACGGTAGTTCTGGCCACTCTTCCCACTGCCTCAAGAGAATCTGGTGCTGATGACTGGTAGCAGGCAGCCAAAAAAAGTTCCGATCTGTCAGCTTCAGATTTCACTGCAAGCAGCTTCACTGCTCTTGTTCATCTGGTTTGTGAAGGTTTACTTTGTAAATCCGCCTGTCTTGCTGCTGACATGGTGTTCGGCGTGAATGCACCAGAAGGACCCAACATTACATAAACAAAAAAGGACAGTTTCTCCTTGTCATTTACATGAGCCTTACCTCCTGAGCTGGTGAGTGTTGGTTCTGTTCTCACCAGGGGAGGGCGCTGGCACAGCTTCTAATACATTTCCTCTGGAGTTATTCCATCAGTCAGGACTGTAGCAGCCATTGGTTAGCAGGTCCTGTTTTCCTTATCACTGATTACCATGCATTGAGGGCTGTTGTCTTGTTCTCTATTTACTTTGCAAAGTAAAATAAAATCCTGTGAGTGAAACCCATTGATCTCTTTTAATTGAACTGGACTAAGTAAACAGGAATGCAAAAACCAGGAGACCAAAAGAAACATCGGATGGTAAATGGTTGATTACATTGAGCATTGCATTTGTGGTAAGAATATCTTCCTTCTGTTTGTCACCTCCTATACAGCTGTTAGCGCTGACAGTAACAGCTCAAACCTGCAGCCTTTTACCCTTTTTCCGCTACGCTTGCTGAGATCGGTCCGACCACGATAACCAAGATAACTGATGAGTGTAAATAGAAAGCAACTGAACTGGACCGTGCCAGACGCAACCGTACCGCGCTAAATCTAGTACTAGCTTAACAGTACGGCGCGGTTCATCTGTGCCTCGGTTCTCTGATAACAAATAAACATTTCCACTAGCCTCTGAAAACGATCCGTGCCGAGCTCGGTTCCTAGCCACTGTTGACACACCACGCTAGCACAGCTCCTCGCCTCCTAGTGGCGATCCACGGTACTACTGCTCTCTAGAGGTTAACAAGCAAACCAACATGGCGGCGCACGTACCATTCAGGAAGTTTGCGGAGAGTCAGGCGAAGAAAGCAGCCTTCGGTGAATTTATTTGACAGAGTCGGCTTTTGGGAAGTGGATACGACAAACGATAGCCTAATCAGGGCTTATAGACGCAGGAAACAACGACAGATGTTGAGGTTCATCACAATGCTAAGCAGAATCATCACTGGAAATCGTGGCGCAGTAGGGAAGCTAGGAATTTATGAACGTCTGAAATTTCATTCTTTGTTTTCTGAGAACCGAGCCAGAACAGAACGCCGCCGAGCCCTACTGATGAACCATGTTAGCGCGGTTCTGTTGTAACTGGCGAGGTCCGCTTCAGTTCTACGTTCCATTTACACTGATCAGTTACCTCGGTTACCGTGATCGGACCGATCTCTGCACGGTTTCTAAAGGGAAGGGTAAACCGGGCTATAGAGAGCATCAGCAGACCGCCTCATCTCCTGTTTGCAGTCAGCTGACTCATTTCGCAGGTTTTCCAGGAGTCTTTGCTGTTCACAGATCTCTTCACCTGTTCACAACATGAACTTCTCAGCTTATCAACAATAAATGGCATCAAAAGAGCGCGGTGCGACCTGGGATGATGCCGAGGCAGAGGAGGATGTCCGTCCGTCTCCTAGCATTCCACAAACAAGGAAATATCACTCATATAAACAAACATAAGTTCCTCAGTGTCATGGGTGCCGCCATTTTTTTTTATACCTCTGTATTGTTCAGAGTCTCTTTTTGCAACAAGTCTTTTGTCAAACTACTTGGGTTGTTTGTACTAATGAGCAGTAATGGCACCCATGTTGGTCGCACTGTTCCTCTCTGCTTTAAAAGGCCTTCACTCTAATTGTTTTTGCAATATTGATTTATTTTTCCAATGTGACACGTCTCCATCTGTGATGCTGATCAGACTGTGGTCCCTTATCCGTTTGTCTTTAGTTGGTTTACAGGGTTTACAGGTTTCTGGCGTCCTCTGATGAATGCCAAAATATGTGGCATGACAGACGGAGGCCTAAATGAGTTTTTGGCCACTGAATGGTTGATCTTTACTCATTTGGAAACGCTCCGCTCTGCAGAGGTAGAGAGCCAGCCATCCTCAGAGCGACCCAGAGATCTGGGTAGAGCTCAGATCCTTCGATCCGTGAGGATATCTGAGCTCTAAGAGTTCTGGAATGTTCTTCATCTCTGAAGCCACAGCTTCTCTATCCGCCTTTCCTCTAAAGAAAAGTTTGTCTCTGAGAAGTTTACCCTGGACCATCATGTCTGCTTGACCAATAACACCTGTTTTGGGTATAGGTCATGATTTCTACATCATTAAAGGTATATTGATGTGAAGATTGTACAACTATACCATCAAAGTCAGTGTTTTATCATTATATTTATATAGAAATCATTATACGTGAAAACAAACAACTGATGGCCCCTGAGGGCCCACTAGTTTCCTTGGACCCCTAAGCAGTGGATTATTTTGCTTATGCCTTGGGCCGGCCCTGACCACCATTAAAGAACTAACGAAGGCGACACAAATAACTGAATGTCAACAGATTTACTAGAAATGTCATAATGTCTTTAATTGATGATGATTATCAGGGTTGAGTGACATCATGGAGACCAGAATCAGATCAATAATTCATCTAAATCAGTCACTGCTGCTGATTGTAAGGTAGCAGGGAGAGAAATGTCCTTCCTTTGTGTCCATCTGGTCTGGGTTGTGTGGTCATGACCTGGTCTATCAGCACATCAGGATGGCTGTAAGCAGGGCCAGCAGGACCACGATGGGCACCAGCAGCAGAGATCCATACAGAATCCACGGCTCCTGGATCTGCTCCACCCCTACCCAGAAACAAAGACCCGGTTAAAGATGGCGAAGGTCAAACATCCTGTCATCCTGTCAAAGCTCATAAAAGTGGATAAACCTTCAATTGGCTCTCTCCTCCTCCTCCAGGTGCTGAGTTTAAAGAGATAAATCACATTTTATTAAATGCATGATTGCTTCTGATGTATAAATAAATCAGAGTGAAAAGATTCATGCAAATCCTGCAGCTAGCATAGAAATGCTAACAGATTCACGCCGACCATTCAGGCTGCAGAAGCTTAGATTATTTAAACTAGAACAGAATAGAGTAGAGTAGAATGACGTCCCTCTGAGGGGTCGTTCAGGCCGTCAGTGCGGCGGGTTCAGTGCGAACGCCACACTGATTCCTCCTGATCGGATGATCACCTGTGGGTTTGGTGTAGAAGGTGCTGCTGGTCACCAGATCTCCCCTCAGGAGCAGCAGACATTCGTATTTCTGTCCTCCTGTCAGGGAGACGGTCTGGGACAGAGTGACGGCGCCGCTGATGGCGGGTCCGTGGTCAGAGTCAACGCCCTGGAGGAAGGATCCATCTTTGAGGACTGACAGAGCGAAGCCGAGGTCCTCGGACACGTTTATCTCACAGCGGAGCAGGAAGTGATTGTGGCTGCTGGGGTTAAAGGTCATGGTGTCTGAAATGAGACACAGCTGCATTGAAATCCTTTCATCTTTCTCTGTTTCCTGTTCAAACAGCTGGATCTTCCTGTCATCTACCGGTTCATACGCGGCCAGACGCTTGTTTACGTCCTGCTAGGAGAAACATTTTTTACATTTTCATCAAAGATCCACTTTAAGAATGATAAAAGAAAACAAGCATTTAACTTGATAATCTGTAGCATAGGCTTTGGTCTGATCACTGTCGCTACAAGCATGCTTAGTGTGAGGGATTGCTGAAAAGTCAATGACTCGATGCAATCAGCTGGTTTTCCTTAGACAGAAAACTTTGAATCAATTTGATGGGAGAGCGGCTTCGCCGCTCCAGGACCCTGAAATGTTTTTAAACGGAACACCCTCTTTGGTTGCCTAGGGGTGTGTTTGGATCATTGTCGTGCTGGAAGACCCAGCCACCTTCATTCTTCAATGATCTCATTGATGGAAGGAGGTTTGTGAGTAAAATTTTAACATATGTTTCCTCATTCTTTCTTCCTTCATCATCCTCTCCACTTTGCAGAAAACCAGCCCCACAGCATGATGCTTCCACCCCCATGCTTCACAAAAGTTTGGTGTTCAGAGGACAGATTATTCTCCACAAAATGTTATAATTATTTAACATCCTTCAATATGATTTCCTGTATTTTTGCTCTATTTTTTTTTCATTGCAGAAATGAACTGATGATGAAAATTATAGACCTGTCTCATCTATACTGGAGAACTTGACAAACCAGATGCTGACTAAATATGTTTTTGTCCTGCTGCATCCGTGTCAAGATGGACCTAAAGCTGGATGTGCAGTTTTTGGAAAGTAATAAAGTATATTTACTTGATTATTGTATTCAGGGGAAGATTCACTATTAGGTAAATAAATGTTAATAGAATAGACATCCATTATCTGTTCTAGGTTTTGTCCCTCTTTTCTCATCCCTTTCTATTATCAGCATTCTGATGGCATTTTAGACAAAGGATTTGAATCAAAAACATAATTAATGTGCAGAAATAAGGAATAGTTGTATTAACCATACATGGAAACAGAGCTTTATGGGGCCCCCAGGAAGTTGGGGCCCTAGGCAGCTGCCTAGTATTGCCTGATGCTAAATCGGCCCCTGATTACAGTCTCCATCACTTCTTCACGGCTAACAGGGAAATTGAGGGCCCCCTGCCTGTCTTTGCCTAGGGCCCCACATTTCCTAAATCCGCCCTTGACTGTACTTAAGTACTTCTTTTCAGTATCATTACTTTACTTGAGTCCATTTTTGGGGCGGGACTTATAATTTTCATCCACTCCGTCTCCAGGAACCTGTTAGTTCCTTTTAGCTCAGCTTTGCTTTTTAATCGTCTGCTGCAGTTTTTCCTCCATCATGGCGGATAGCAGCGCTTAGGACTGAATCTGGACTCATTTACAGGTTTAATAACGTTCCACAATGTGAGATATTATTAGTAGTTTATCCTCTTATTGCCATGTGGCCAAGTTGTTCAGTAGGATGAGTCTCAGATTGATAGTTTCTCATAGATTCAACTTTAAACTGCTTTTCTATTGTGAAAGTAGGAAGAGAATCATGATATTACTGTTTTCTGTTTGGTTGGTTTTTAAATAAGAAGCACTAATAATAATATCTGTCCTTATTTTTTTCTGGTATTTCTATGCAGAAGTTCTTTCCAGGTGGTGTAGAATCTATAGCAGGTTGTTCTACGCATCTGTTCATCAGGTGGTTTCTGAAAGTTACAGATTCTTTAAAGGAAAAGTCGCTCACATTCAGAATCCAAACTTCTGAAAGTTCTTTAAATCTGAAATGATTCCATCCTGTTCAATAAATGATCAGTGTTTTTAATTCAGAGTAATTTTCATGTGAATGTGCTTTACTGGAGGCATCCATGTTTGTCAAAGAACACTACTGCCACCTACTGGTTAGTGACATTGTCACGGTGCGGTATCGGCTGTTGATCAAGTCCCAGTGCTGTATCTGGTGTTTGTCACAACGCGCTATTATCCAAGTCATCTTGAAAACATTCTTCTTCCAAATGTCGGCTACATATTACGGGTTTTTTCTCTGGCCAGAAGTTCGATGGCAAATCCTCCCTCTTCAAGTTGGCGATCCAACGACCAACCCGTCCGTGGAGGATCAGGAATCAGAAAGGTGGAATAACTCTTTTTTTTTTCACTTTTCCCCGATGTATTCCAGCATCCAGCTGCCATGCACGTGGGCATTGTCAGTTTCACTATAGCTCTGGTGAATTTCAATGGTGAAGTCCTCTGGAAATCTTCAATAATTGTTGTTGATTGCAGATGTGTCTAGTAGTTCCCATTGATTTAGCTTGGAAAGCGGGGAGAATGGCGCTAGGCTTACCGCACCGTGACGTCACTGCTGGAAGATGGCAGGAGGGAGGGGCTACTATATTTGGGCAAAAATGGCCGCTCCCAGACTCAGTGATCGCCATGAAAATTATTGCTTTTATTTTTTTTACTGATTGAAGCTAAATTAATTAAATCACTGCGAACGATTTAGTTTTAGGTCTAAATAATGATCTATTGATTTTTCCTGCTGACCGACTTTTCCTTTAAAATGACTTTAATGAAAATTAGACAGAAATGTTCTGCTATTAGAAAACTGAATTTATATTTTTTTAATACTTTTCAAAAGTGAGAACTTTAATAGTTTAACTTGTAGATGTTTGACTGAGTGACTTTTCTAGTTGAGTAAAAATTGACTATGAGTATCAGTACTTTTACTCAAGTACTACTGTTCAGTACTTCGTCTACCGCTGCACAAACTAATGTTAAAAAACGCATTTCTCTTCTGTTTACTTTGGTTCTACATTAAGTCCCTGTTGATAGAACCAAATGAGGTCATTTGATCGGTTTGACAGCAAAGAAAAGGGAATCTACCGTAGATGACCAGCGTGGTGTTGGTTCCCTTCAGCCGGAAACTTCCTTCACTGGTTTTGATGGACATTTTGCACTGATACGAGCCGCTGTCAGACCACTGCACCTTCTTCAACACATGGGAGTAGTTAGAAGAGTTACGGTCAACTTCTAAGGTCCGATCTCCTGCAGCCGTCCAGTAAAGCACAGGCGTGTTTGTTATCTTCACATCCTGGGAAGCTTGGAGTTCACAGGGAAGGAGGACATCATGGCCCAGAGGAGCGGCTATCACAGGAGGCTGCAGCAGCTTGATCAGAGCGGCTGCACCTGAAAACAACAACAACAACGCCACACTTCAATCTACTGACAGGGTGGAGCCTCAAAAACCTCGAACTTCCTGCTTGGCTTGAAGAAAGAGCCGCTCTACTCAGAAGGACGACACAGACGGACCAACAGGGGCTGTTTACACCTCACACCCTCAGCCCATTATAACTGGTTTTCCTTTTCTCATACACTGTTTACGTTCTTTATCACAGCAGCACTCTATAAATGTCAATGTTCATTTCACTGTTATAAGCTGGATGCATCGAAAGTTCGTTTTGTATAGAACAGTATCGGTAAATTCAATTCAATTCTATTCAGTTTATTTCTATAGCTCCAATTCACATCATGTCATCTCAGGTCACTTTCCAGTTCACCAGATCATCCAGTCAGATTGATTCAAAGTTTTCTATCTAAGGAAAACCAGCTGATTGCATCGACTCATTGACTCTTCAGCAATCCCTCACACTAAGCATGCTTGTAGCGACAGTGGAGAGGAAAAACTCCCTTTGAACAGGAAGAAACCTCCAGCAGAAACAGGCTCAGTGTGAGCGGCCATCTGCTGAGGCCCACTGGGGTTCAAGGAGACAGAAGCAGACATAGAAAAAGAAGCATAGATACAAAAGGCAACTGTCAACCAGCTCCACAGGCGGCCCCGTCCAGGAAACACACAGCCAGGCAGACGAGCTCCGAGCCAGCTCCCATGTCAGAGGATGAAGAGAGCACATCCAGTCACAGTCAGAGAAACAGGACTACACTGGAAAACAGGCCAATCTCCAGCATCAAAAAGCAGAGACTGCAGTTGCTTAGGGGCCCCCTACCTCTTAGGGGCCCCGTCCCTGACACCTGGTTGGCCCCCAACGCGATTGTAGACTAGGACGTCTCTTTGCAGATGTAATGGTGCAAAAAATCCTCTTAAACCCAGCTGGTACTTGGTAGACTGACCAGACCGTATTCACACCGCGACACTTCGCAGATTTCACCACGATGGTGAACCATTTAAACACGACACCAACAGCAAAGCGGACACTTTTAAAAACTATGTTAATAACTGTGTATAGTTCATTATCGGTTGGTGAAAATAAAGTCCTATAATATGTTTCAAACCACAATAAAGCTCTTAAAAGAACGATGAAGTTGAGTATTTTATTTTTTACAATACGACTTGGAATTATGGGTAATCCAGAGCGTAGATTAAAACCATAACCGATAGTTTCAAGGTGTTGCTTTATTGTATATCTCGTACCATGTCTTTTGGTTGTTCTGTTCCCCTTTCATCTCGTTACAGGTGATGAAGCAGACTGAAAATGTTTTGTCATTGTCTCCTTTCTATCTTCTCTTTCTTTCATCTTTTCTCTTTTTTTTTTTTTTCCTTTTTCTTCTTCAGTTTTTCTGCTCTATTTCCATTGTAGTGTCCATATAAACTGTAAAACTCCCTGCATAATTATAATAAAGCAATTTATATGCATGAAACAGGTGGAACAATATGGCGATAGCTGTACTGCTCCACCTGTGAAAGTAAAATCTGTTTTTGCCATCAAGACAATTATTCTGTGTATTTCATATGGGGCCCACCCAGATAATGTTGCTTATGGGCCTGTTGTTGTGTCATTACGCCATTGTTCACAGATAGTGTAACAAAATGAGAAAAAAGTTAGTCTACGCCAGGCTCAGACTGGAAACAAGTCTGACGATCAGTCAAACGCATGCGTCTCAAATGTGAAACACGATAGGAATCCACATTGTGGATTAACCGATCTATCTTCAAGCATCACCAAGACTTCTTGTCATGAAGCGGTATTTGTATGGAGGACCCAAACGCAGAGACCAGTAGGCAGAGGTGAATTAAAGTCTGTTTAATTTGGTTCACAGGTCCAGAAGCAGGAATCAGAGTCCAACTGAAAATACCAAACGTACCAGAACCAAGGAGACATCAGGGATTAACCAAAACCAGAAGCCAGGGAGAGACGAGACAAGGCAGCAGATGATAGGCGGGAAGTAAGACGAGATGTTAGACGAGGATCCAGCAAACAGGAACTGAAGAGGGAGGGCTTTTAAAGGGGACAGAGGCAAAGAGAGGGCTGACGAGGAAATTGGCAACAGGTGCTGGCAGGACAGAGAAACAGAGCAAGGGAGGACACAAGAGGGCAGCAGAGGACAACAAATGGATAAACAAGGAAAACAGGAACAAACAGACCAAGGCTCTGACACTTCTATAATGCGGTTTTACTGGCTTTGCTTATTTAGATTAATTAATTAAATCTGTGTGGATCTGTTCGCAGAGGCACCTTGTGGGGGTGAAAATATAGGAAGATTCCAAGGGCCCTTGACTGAGGGGGGGGCCCAAAAGAAGAAGAAAACACATGTCCCACCGGATATTTCAAAGATAAAAAGAAGATCCTGCATTGTGTTCTCCCTGATCGTTCAGCATTAAATCCAGCATAAGGGAGTCAGACCAGAAACCAGAGCTGGCCAAAGGTTTCTGGGTCCGCACTGAATGTGTGTTACTGCAGAAGGCAGAAGGTTTTATATTTCTAACAATAGGCATCGATATAAACGCATCATATTCAGCTGTGAAATCTTTAGATTGACTTGATCTGAAACACATTTCTCCATCATTGCAAGTAGAGCTGCAGCTGTAGGCGGATAGATGACATTATTCTGCTTTTTTACCTGAGATCATGAAGCAGAGCAGTAGCGGCGTCGGACCACAGCGGCTGAAGACCACCATGTTTTCTCACAAGCACTTTGATTATCTGAGGTGAAGCGGGAAGTTCTCCTCAGAGGAGGCTCAGCTCTTCAAAAAGAGACAAAGGAGGGAGGATGTGGTTTGGGCCCCTCAACTAAACCACCATATTTTCTCTCCATGATGTCACTGGCTGAACTCTAATATATTAAACAGTTATTGGATGAATTCTGGTGTTTTCAGACACGTCGCTGTGAAGAGGGCGTAAGTGTGAAACTGTCAGGCTTCACAAGAAGCACAGTGAGTGAGGGTCTGCACACCTCTGCAACATCTTTCATAGCTGCTCTGCCAGTGGAACAGCAGCAGTATCAAAAGTTCCCACATTAGTTACTTCAGTAGAAGTATAGATCCTGCAGTTTAAAAACACTCTGGTAAAAGTTAAAGTATCAACTTGACCTCTTTACTCCAGTAAAAGTGAAAAAGTATGAGCTCCATAAACTACTTAAAGTATAAAAGTATAAAGTAACCTTTAATAAAAACAGCCAGATGCTGCTATATGAATTAAAGCTCAATTTTTGGACTATTTCTAAATATCCTCTGAGATAGGGCCAAGGATGAGGGAGGTCTGGTTGGTCTCCGTCTCCCGATACGCTCTCGCCTGTGTCCGACCTTTCAGACATTTCAACATCTTTTTCTGAATCCCACATTGTAGCATGGCATAGACAATTCACGTTAGCAGTTTGAAGAACACCTGCTTGCTTCTGATGATTTCCTTTAGCTAACCAATGAGTGTTTGCCTTCTATGACTCATCCAATCACACTAGTTTTCACTAGATGTGGGCGGAGCCAATGATCTGCATTGGATGGAGCACATGACGGGAAATAGATATTTAGAAACATTAAACCAGGGGAACCAATTAAAAACCAGCGGGTCTGAATAAAGAAAATCATCAACCAGTAAAGATCTGGAGACATTTTGAATGATCTGTTACTTTAAACAGAATTTAACGCTGGAATAAAATGCAGATTGTTATGCATCCATGTTATACATTTAATAAAAAAAAGAAAAAAAAAAAAGAACGTTTTTTCCTTTTAAAAACTTAAGTGTTTTTTTTTAAGTAAAGAACAACAATTGTTTAGGCTGCTTATAAAATAAATAAATAAAATAAAAAAAATTATGTTAGAACTGTAAATATACAGTCATATGTTTATATTACTATTGTATTTATTACTGTTTTCAAGGCTGCACTTTAAAAAATGAAATTTTCTAGAGCTGGTTTAAATTATTAATTCTTTTTGTTTACACTTGTGAATACAAAATGATGAAATAAATCAGTCTAAGTCTAAAAAAATAGAAAAGGAGAAATATTAATTACTAGATTAAGATTTAGACGTTCAGGACTTAATTCGTCACTGTTTCAAATAAAAAGCAGGTTACAGAGAGGAGCGAATATTCTGGAGAAGGAATCAATAGAAGATGTTCATGAGGAGATCAAAGAAATAAAGAGAGCTTTAATATAGAAGATGCATTTAAAAGAAGCTCAATGAACAGGAATATATAATTATTATTTCACTTTATTTCTTAGAAAATTAAACTGTTTAATAGAATTTAAGTATAAAGCATGAATTACAGTCCATACCAGGCGGTGGCGGTAATGCAAACGTTTATAGATTTCTGCTGACCTCAAGAAAAACAATACAGAAGAAGAAAATAAAGAACTCCATTACCCATAAACCCTTCTGTTAATGCGTCGCACTAGAGAAGTTTATCATGGAGGACTCCGTTGCTGTTGAGAAGAGCCCGGTAAGAATATTTCTTATCTTTTAGTTTTTTTAGTTTAGTTTCAAACGCCGTATTTAGATGATTTTTATAGTTTTTAGTTTCTTCGTTAGAGAAATTCAATGTTTTTTTTCGTAATTATTTTGTCTCGTTTAAGCTGCTGAAGCAGAAACCTGCCAATTCATTCTGCGCTCGGTGCGGCTGCTGCTAGCATTAGCATTAGCATCGCCTTTGAAGACGAATAATTGCGATGTTTCGCATCTTAGTGACGAATTTGAACTTGAAATTCGCTAACATGCTTCGTATGAAATGCCTTTAGTCGTTTTTCGTTGTTTGCCGGCTCGGTGCTAGGATGTTATCGCTAATCAGTTTCAGTTGCTAAAGCTAGTAGCTTGTTAGCCATTAGCTTTGTTTCTAAGCTGGGATCCTGGTTCCAGTAGAATCTGCATGAAACATTGGAGTCCCTGATAACCTGATAATAATAATATACTGGAGATAATAAATGTTATGAAAAACTTCTAAATAGGAAGCAATATGAGCTTATTTAGCTGATTGAAAGTATAGAACTGTAAATAATATCTAGAGATAAATAAAAATGTAAATAGATAAATAGCAGGTGGATCTATTTACTGCTCTATGAGCCTCATCTGACCCTGGATCAGTTTTAGTTTTATGCAGCGAGATTTCCTTCCTTCTTTTCTATTCATATCTCTGTCAGAAAAAAAAATATATATATATATATATTTTTTTTAAGGAATTGTATTTTGAGGACATTTGGTGTGAATCGATACTCCAAAAATAAACGGAATATCAAAGACTTTGTTACTTTATCTTGTATAATAAAATATAAATAATCTTCTGGTTTAGGCATCATTCCATTTTTTCCCCAGAGCTTTTTGGTTGTTTAAATATTTGGTACAAGATTAAATGTTTGTGATAAAATGAAATACTCTCAAACAGTAGTGGGATAAATAAAGCATGTTGTTAGGGGCCCTAAATGTTAACCACAACCAGTGGCGGATCTAGGGGGTGGCTACAGCCCCGGATGTTTCCGCTATAAAATGTGCAGTACTGGAATTCACCAGATAGTGGCAGCATGCGCAGGAAAGCGGCCTGTAGCATTACCGTGCAAAAGAAGAAGTTGTCCCCATGTGGGATGTGAAGCTCTGACTGACGGAGCAGTCATCTGTGTCCCGGTGTTTTATGGAATTCTGTTCCCCTTTTATCTGGAGGTGCATTGAAGCCAGAGAGGCGGAAATGGAGGATGGAACAATTTTCACTGCGCTGCTGATCGATTTCTGGCTAATAACAGCTCCTATAATCATGTCACTGTTAAACATCCAGTTTAATCAGCAGCTGCTCTTTACAAAATTATAAAATAAATAAATAAATAAACAAGGTCCTTTTTAAGCTGTTTTGTGTTATTTTAAACGCCAAGAGAATCTGTCTTTTTACCAACATCTGTCCCTTCAGCCTGACAGAAATTAAAGTCAGTCACCAAACACAGTTTTCCAACTCATAGTGAGTATTTATCATTTTACTCGTACTCGTCGTCTCCCGCTTTATCCGGAACCGGGTCGCGGGGGCAGCAGACTAAGCAGAGACTCCCAGACTTCCCTCTCCGCTGACACCTCCTCCAGCTCTGCTGGGGGAAGCCCTAGGCGCTCCCAGGCCAGCCGAGAGACATAGTCTCTCCAGCGTGTCCTGGGTCGTCCCCTGGGCCTCCTCCCGGTGGGACGTGTCTGGAACACCTCCCGAGGGAGGCGTCCAGGGGGCATCCGAAGAAGATGTCCGAGCCACCTCAACCGACTCCTGTTGATGTGGAGGAGAACCGGCTCTACACTGAGCCTCTCCCGAATGACCGAGCTCCTCACCCTATCTCTAAGGGAGAGCCCAGCCACCCTGCCAGACCGGTGCAGCGTCCGCATTATTGCAGCAGCTGCACCGATCTGTCTATCGATCTCCCGCTCCATTCTTCCCTCACTCGTGAACAGGACCCCAAGATACTTGAACTCCTCCACTTGAGGCAGGGACTCTCTTCCAACCTGAAGGGGACAAGCCACCTTTTTCCGGTCGAGAACCATGGCCTCGGACTTGGAGGAGCTGATTCTCATCCCGGCCGCTTCACACTCGGCTGCGAACCGCCCCAGCGAACGCTGTAGGTCTTGGCAGGAGGGAGCCAGCAGAACTACGTCATCCGCAAAAAGCAGGGACGAGATCCGCTGGTCCTCAAACCAGACCCCCTCCGGTCCTTGGCTGCGCCTAGAAATTCTGTCCATAAAAGTTATGAACAGGACCGGTGACAGAGGGCAGCCCTGTCGGAGTCCAACATGCACCGGGAACAGGTCCGACTTAATGCCGGCAATGAGAACCAGACTCCTGCTCCGCTTGTACAGAGAACGGATGGCCCCTAATAAAGGGCCCCTGACTCCATACTCCTGGAGTTTTTTGATTTGGGTGATGAACGAATCCAGCCCCAAGCACCCCGTCTCTTCTTCCCCCACGGAAGGCGTGTCTGTCGGGTTGAGGAGATCCTCAAAGTATTCCTTCCACCGTCCGACAATATCCTCCTCTAAGGTCAGCAGCTCCCCACTCCCCCTGAAAACAGTGTTAGTGAAGCACTGCTTTCCCCTCCGGAGGCGCCAGGCGGTTTGCCAGAATCGCTTTGAGGCCGACCGATAGTCTTTTTCCATGGCCTCTCCGAACTCCTCCCAGGCCCGAGATTTTACCTCTGCAACCGCCCGGGCCGCGACACGCTTGGCCTCACGGTACCTGCTTGCTGCTTCAGGAGTCCCACAGGCCAGCCAGGCTCGATAAGACTCCTTCTTCAGCTTGACAGCATCCCTTACCATCTGTGTCCACCACCGGGTTCGATGATTGCCACCACGACAGGCACCGCAAACCTTACGGCCACAGCTACGGGCAGCTGCATCGACAATAGAGGCAGAGAACACCAGCCTCCTGAGAGATCATTTTTCATTACCGATATAAGAGGATGGAAACTGACTGATAGCAGGACATAAAAACTAAGACTTACTGAAAAGATGAGTGTAGACTCTCCTGTTCTAATGTAAAATATTACAGATTACTTGTTAGAACTGTAAATTTACAGTCATATGTTTATATTACTGTTTTTATAGATATTTTTTTTTACTATTTTTCAAGGCTGCACTTTAAAAAAATGAAATTGTTCAGAGAGCTGTTCTAAAGGAAGTTTCTTTTTGTTTTACACTGTAAACAAAATGACAAGTAAATCTGTCCAAGTCTAAAATTACTGGATTAAGGACATTCCTAATATGCGACATTCACATAATGATTTTTATTTGCCAATAGTTGCTCTTTATTTCCCAAAGATATGG